GAGTAACATTTAGTTTAAAATAGGAATAATAGAAAATGTTGGTGAGAGTCTTTGCTATATATATTGTTGGAAAGGAATTTGGGAAGAAAAACAGGAGGAAGTGTAAATTATGTCTTGCTGTATACGCAACATGTGTAGCATGAACATGGCACTTGACTGTGCCAAACTGAGCATCATTCTTTTTCCAGGCTGGAACATGAAACTTTCTGACATGTTTTGATGTATTCAGATATTGTTCAGAGTATTCAGAAATTATACAGTGTGTTCAGGGTAGGATTTTTTCATTGATAGTTTAACATTTAGCAGTCAAATTCTTGAATTTTTGAAGAATGAGGATAGAAACTATTACAGCAAGATGTTTCAGATGGTACAAAATATTCATGTGTTAAAGGACACATAATTTGTAAGAGTTTAAGTATAATATAATGGTGGCACATATCAGTTGCAGATCAGCGTGTGTTGAAGTCTCAGAGACAGCACTGGAGACATCGAGTACTTGGTCATGGGGGAAGCTTTTAATGTGTGCTTAAGTCTGCAGATGCTCAGCAATTCTTTCTGCCCTTTATATTTGTCTGGAATATGAATTTAACGATGAGATACTGAGAATGAAAAATTTGGGAAATGTAGAAGGGTACATGGGTTGCTCAGGTGCAGCTTGGGTCATTCTTTAGAGCCGAGGTAAACATGATGCACGATGCTAATCTGGCAGGCAGCTCTGATTGCTGCACTAGGGCATTAGAGGGCAGTGGGAGTGCTGCACTGGAGCTGGGGGTGTGAAAAGTATTTTCTAAAGAATGGCAACTGTATAAATAATGCTGAATAAGGGCAGTATGAAAATGCCAAGGGAGGAATGCTGTTACAATATTTAAAAGACTTTGTTTTCTTGCATGCCTTCTGTTTCTTATTTTGTTGTCAAATTACAGTTTTGATTTCCAAATGTGAGTTAGAAAGACAAGGAAGTGTAGAGCAGGTGAGTGTTACATATTTTCCTTACTTGAAGAAGCTGTTGTAGTGAGACAGACCTAGGGAAGAGCAGCCTACACCCCTGGCTTCATCTTGCAGAGCTGCTTGCACCTCTTCTGAATAATACATCAGCTAATATGTAACACTCTTCCAAAAAGGTCAGTCTTTGAATTAGATGAGTATGACACTGATAGTGCCTCAGTAGTCATGGAGGCTTGCAGATCTTCTCTGTATGTCTTGTGCTTTTCTTTCTGCTGAAGGTAATTCTGTTGAGTCTTGAAGTTCACCAGCTCTTGCCTGTGAAGAGCATACCTTTCAAATAGCATGCAAGAAGATCTGAACAGCTTGGTCTTCCTGCAGTGTGTCAGTTACAAATCAAAGCTGACCGATCAGCCGTTCTTTTAAAATCTGACATTTTTAGGCTTCTTTATTTTACGGAGCCACAGGCGGTATTTCCTCTTCGTGTGTATGCACGAAGTGCTAGAAACTGCAATAAGTAAATCAAACCACAGTTCTTAAACTGACAGTACTCTGGTGTGGTGGAACAGAAGAATAAATGTAAGATGACTCATTCCAGAAATGGCCCTTCCTGTCTCCAGAAAGAAACCTCACACTTGCCCAGTATAGTTTTGAATATAAAAATTAAATGCTTCAGTTTTTTGTTCTGGTGTTTACCTGTCACAAGATATAACACTGCTCATTGTGTGTGGTGGTGTGGAATCGCCTGACTTTGCGTTATGAGGTAGCCAAGACCTTTTAGAGTCAGCTATTCTTGTACAGACATGCAAACTGTTATTTTAGATTTTAATTTAGTTATTCTCATCACACCAATAACAGCTGTGTTATCTGGCAGAGTAAAGCTTTGTGTCATTACTCTCTGTCTAGAATATAACTGCTAAATTTCTCCTGGATTCTGTAAATATTTAGATGTTACCCATTTGTGTATTAGTATTTATGTATAGATGTAAAAACAATTTTATTCAGAAATAGTTCGACCTGAAAATTAACTCTTTGGAGTTAAAACTCAAACTCTGTTCTGTATTTTAATAATAATGGCCAGTCTTCGCGAGCGAAGATCCGGGGAAGGTCTTTACACCTTCCAGCCTGCGCATTGGATTTTTTTTAGGTGAGACACAGTGTGCGCGGAACTGAGCCCACCCTTTAATCCTAAGGTTCATCTGCCGGGGCCAAGCGAGCTTGGACGGTGGCAGCGAGGTCCTTAGGACGTAGGTGGGTTGCCTTTAAGAGCTAACGAGCCCCACCTGCCCGGGAGTGGCCCTGACCGGGAATCGAACCCAGGCCTCTGCGGTGATAGCGCGGCGCCTTTACCACTAGACCAGCAGGGGCTCCAATTCTGTATTTTAAAGCCTAATGAAAGTGCCAGGTCGTTCAACACCAACCTAGGAAATTAGGCCTTTAGAAAAGGCAGACAACCAGGATTGCAGTCAGTTTAGCAGAAAGACCTTGTATCTGGGTCTGTCTTTGGTCCCTTAATTAATAGTACCTCCCCATGAGTTTGTGGGAAGTATCTGTCTCTACTGACATCAGGACTAATGATAGTTTCAAACCTGTGTATTACCAGTTTATCTCACGTTACCAGTTTCTTTAGGGCCTGGCCTTTTTTGTTTCCAGCTTTGCAGCTAGTTTCTCTAGCCTGTTTCAGGCATCATACTTGACATAAATATTTTGTCACTGCTTTGCAAGAGGACTTCCCTTTCTAAATTAGGGGGAAAGCTGTTTGGGCCTTCCTCAAATTCTGCTTATTAATATCAAGTCTGTTCTGACTTTACAGAATTCAACCAACTACAGAGATCAGATATATAGAATTACTACATTTAGTCAGCAGAGGGAGAAATCTTACCTTGAGGAGAATTACAGTGATGGGGATTTGAGTGGAATGTTTAGTTTAAAAAAATAAAATAAATGCCACTTGAGTTGACCAGTTCTGGGTCAGCTTGTTCTCAGCTGGGAACAGCTCCACTGTGTGTGACAGTATCTTTGTAGAACTCAGTATAAATATATGCAATATTTATAAATGTACCTATATAGAAATAAGTATAAAAATAGATAAGTCTGTGTAACATGCTTTAAGAACCCTGTCTGATAATCTGTCATGTCAGCATGACAGCACAAGGCATTCCCAGGCAATGGAACACGAGTGGCTCCTTGCCTTTTCTGGAGTGAACTCTACATGTGTAAAGATCAAGTCTTTTGAGAGATGAGGCAGCCAGAAGGGCTTCTGTATCTGGACAGCTGTCTGCTCAAACAGTTTTGACTTAAATTTTAGAATCAATTCCTCAGTATGGAAGAATAAGACTGGCTATTTCACAAAACCGTGTAAAACTTCAGTACTCAGTAACTGATAAAGTTTGCTTTAAGTGCTAGATTTGTCAAAGGCTTGTTGAAATGTCTGATTCAAACAACTGTAATATGTGACTATGGCTTTTTTTCCATTTGATTAATTAAAACCTTGCATGAAGGCAGTTTGAAGAAAATGGATTTTGTTTAAACCAAGGCTATTTAATTAATACACTGACAGTATGTCAGCAGGGTGTGTTAATATTACCTTTATAATGAAGGCCTTTGATAATCAGTCATCACAGTTATCTTGTGTGTAATGCTGGAGCTGGGAATGACTTGAGGCAGTGCTTTCTCTGAATCACAAGGTCTTTCTGAAATGGTCACCCTGATCATCTTACTCTTATATTATACAAAGAGCAAAAGCTGCATTCGCTGTATACAGGGGAGGGAGGTAAATGATCTGTTGTCAGATTTCTTGAACTGAAGACTTTCTGTTAACTAAAATTCAGTTTTTAGGTTAGTAACTTCATTTGTAATGTAAATAAATAGCAAGCTTTTAAAGCAAAGTTAGATTAATATGTAATTATTCTTAATGTATTTCGTAAGTCTTAAATATGTTTACCTATTTGTGTATTAGTATTCATGTATAGACTTAAGAACGAGCATCTTTAAAACGTTACTGTTGCAAGTTGGAGAACATCACCATATCACCAGTGGTTTATTCCTCTCTCTCTACTAAGAAGAAAAATAAACAAACAAGAATTCAGTCACAACAACCCCATGCAGCACTACAGGCTGGGGCAAAGTGGCTGGAAAGCTGCCCAATGGAGAAGGACCTGGGGGTGCTGGTCAACAGCCAGCTGAACGTGAGCCAGCAGTGTGCCCAAGTGGGCAGGAAGGCCAATGGCATCCTGGCCTATATCAGCAATAGAGTGGCCAGCAGGACCAGGGAAGTGATTGTCCCCCTGTACTCAGCACTAGTGAAGTCACACATCAAGTTCCATGTCCAGTTCTGGGCCCCTCGCTGTGAGAAAGACAGCGAGTGCTGGAGTGTGTCCAGAGAAGGGCAATGGAACTGGTGAAGGGTCTGGAGAGAAAGTCGTATGAGAAGCTGCTGAGGGAACTGGCGGTGTTTAACCTGGAGAAAAGAAGGCTCAGGGGGACCATATCACTTTCTACAGCTACCTGAAAGGAGGTTGTAGCCAGGCAGGGCTCGGCCTCTTATCCCAGACAACTAGTGACAGGACAAGAGGAACGGGCCTCAAGATGTGTAAGAGGAAGTTCAGGTTGGACATCAGGCAGAATTTCTTCACTGAAAGCACAGTCAGACATTGGAACAGGCTGCCCAGGGAGATGGTGGAGTCACCATCCCTGGAAGTGTTCAAGAAATGACTGGATGTGGTATTTAGTGCTGTGGTTTAGTTGACTTGGTGGTGTTTGGTTAGAGGTTGGACTCGATGACCTTAGAGGTCTTTTCCAACCTTTATGATTCTACACAGTGTGCATTCACTTAAGATGGTGGTTGTTTTTATAGATCATCTGGTCTTTCAAGTCACAGGATGCAATCTGAAGAAGTAATGGTTGTGGCTTCAGAATTTTTTCTAGCTCTAAGCTATGCACTTTTGATATGTATGTGATTTTCTGAATTGCTGTCTGATAAGACTTTTTTCGAAAACCATTTTGGATCTACAGTATGCAAATATGCTAATATTCTCACATATTTTTCTCCCTTTAAGGCAAGAACTTTTGAAGTGGAATGGATGGGGATATAATGACTCCAAATTCATCTTCAATAAGAAGGGTCAAGCAGAATTCACAGGAAAAAGGTAAGTTGAAAATTTATGTAACTGAAGTATCTTACTTAGTAGTTTTACTGAAAAGAGTGTAAAAGCTGCACAGTACAGTTAATCCAAAGAAGGCAAAAAAATTTCTTCATCTCATAGAATAGGTTATTAGTTCTGCATTTAACAGGTTTATTGAAGTCTATACAAAGTAGTCTAATGTAGTAAAATAGAACGTGTGGCTTATTGAAAGGTTTATTAAAAGTGTTATAAAGACAAATCAAGTTACAGTATCTGTAACTTGATATACTTGTGCATTAAACTTTTCTTAGAGAATGAAATCAGACTGAGAATCTTAACCATGTTCTGAAGCTTTCTTAGTTTGGGGTTTCTTAACCATTGTGTATGGAGCTACTTCATCCTCTGAACTTAAAAACTGCTCTTCGGTTCAGTGTCCTGTAGTGGTTTCACTTCATTAATTACCCACTGACCCTTTGTACAGCAAGCTTGTTTTCTGGGAAATATGTGTTTTTTTAAAATGATATTAAAATTTAGTCTACTTGGGGATATCTAAATTTTGTTCCAGTGGAATTTAAACCTGTCACTTGATATTTTACTATTTTTTGGTGTTTTTTTCTGCCTTAGTGGAAAGTAATCTTTCAGTCTCTTTCCTGGTTTAAAAAATACATTTTTCATAGGAGTAAAAAAAAAAAAAGAAGGGGGAAGAGAAATAAATTTGAAATAAGTACTCTCCTTCATAAAAATTCCTATCTGGTCTTTGCGTTTGTGTGAATTAGCATGAACTAGCTTGCATCTAAGCTGCAGATAACTAAGTGGGATGTTGAGCACTTCAGTTGTTAATTTCTTGATTTTCAGACCCAAATTAAAATGCAAAGCCTTCTATTAGGCAGTTCACTGTATAATATTTAGGGAGATGCTGCACAGAAAATCAAAGCGCACTACAGAGAATAAACAGAGATAAAGGAGAAAGCATTGAGGCTGCTCGACAGCTGTGTGACTGATGAGTACCAGTCGCTGTTACAGAATGGGAGGAGAATGGTGGAGTTTTTTCCCCTCATCTACATTCTCTCTCTCTCTCTGAGATATAGTACTAGAAATACCTTGTTGGGCCACACCAGTATAGCTTCTATAGAATAGTTTGTGGCAAAAGGAGAGTGTTTGAAGTGAAAATAAGAGAATAGGCATCTGCAAAGGTGTTGTAGATGCTTCCTCCTTTCAGTACCCACTTACAGATCTGTTGTCCATAAATTTGTCGAATAACCTCAAGTCTGCTCGTCCTGTCTTCCTGTACAGCATCTCGTGGCAGCAAGTTCCAGGCTGCAGTTGTAAAGTATTTGTGTTTTGAACCAAGTGTCCTGTATTGTGTTGTGGGAATAGGCGAATGATAGTTCTTCAGCCTATCTACTGGGTTATTGATTATGTAAGACTCAATCATGTCCTCTCTTGCACTTTCTCTCCATGATTAAGGAGTCTCAGGCCCTTTAGTCTCTGCTTGTAAGGCCCCTTGATCTTTACAGTTGCTGTTCTCTGCACCCTCTCTAGATCCATTAGATCTTTTTAGATCTTTCTGGAGATGGGAACAAAAACTGACTGCTGCACTCAAGGATACACCAGTGTTCTACAGAGCAGCAAAAAAAAGATGAACTGTATTCTTTCTTATACCTGCCCAGCTGATGCATAGAACTGTTGACTGCTGTTGTATGTTGTCAATGAAGATGCCATTTTTTCTATACTGACTACCAGTAAGCAAATAATGCCTTTTTTTGTTTGTTTGTTTGTTTTTTGGCTTTTGCAATTACCTTACCTTTCATCTCCTTTTGTCTGCTTAGGTTTTTTAAGGTCCCAAGTTCCTATCAGTGTAGTATCTGTCTCCCCAAAAGAGCTTAACATTATTCACCTAGTTAGAGAGTCCACTGATGAATCCAGATTGCTGATGAAGGCATTAAGTAGAGCTGGTCCCACTACCAGTGTGTGGCAAACTGCACTCCTGAGTCTGTCTTGGCCAGTGATCAATAACCCATGCCCTTTCCTTCTTAGCTTAACCTTATCTTATCCTTCACCTTGGAGAAGAACCTTTTCTTCAGCACTGTAGCAGTGTATTTTCTTAAATAGCTTTTGTGGTGACCACCTGTGGAAGTATAAAGGAATGTGCAATTTCATGTTCATTGTATCCACTTTTTTCACTTTGTTTTTACACCCTGATAGAACTCCAAGCATTAGTGAAATAAGGTTTCCCTTTATGAAAGCCACATTGACTTTCCCTACAGACTGATTTATCATGTGTCAAATGATCCTTTTATTACAGACTCTGCCATCTCACTGGGCATAGAGGATTCTTGCTAATCTGAGCAAGCAAACCTGTTTTGAAGTGTGTCTGTGGCGGGAGGAAGGTCTTTTATGGGGGCTTCTTGCACCATCAACATACCCATACAGAGCTTGCTTCCTGAGCAATCGTGCACTGCACTCTGTTCAGTAAACTCACTAATTCCTTCTGTGCTGTGACTTCTGTCTCTGTCTTGACTTAAAAGTTTCGGGGTTTCTGATAGCTTTAGTTTGTCCTTTGAATAAATGACTAAGGTTACCATTACAAAATAGCTGTAGTGATAGCCTGGCAACTCCAAAAAGTAGGTCTGGAGAAGAAAACACACCAAGCTGACCTGGGTCTCTGCTTTCATTGCAAATTCTTGATGCAAATGTATTAAACTTCCATTGCTTATTGCAGTTCCTTTTCATAGAATTCATGTAACTTTCATGTGGGTATGATGAAACAGTAACAGCTGTCACAGGAGGAATGATTGAACCCTGTCTTCCATGCTGAAAAGTCTAGCTTGAGTTAAGGTTGTGGCCTTTTGTATCTAGGAATAGAGTAGGGGGTTATGTCAGTAGAAGAGCTGGAGGGGTAGTTGAGATGAGGAAACAAAAGGAATTGATCTTTCTGTGTAATAGGTGACTCAGCTGTAGAGTTGGTTGCACCAGCCATGAAGGACAGGGTCATGATTAGATTAACAGTGACTGAATAATCTTAGACGGAAGACCCATTAGGCCTAATGCAGTGACCCAGGTGAAAACTATGGTAAAGATTCTCAGCTGCTGAAAGCTTTTAATCCCAAAGAAAGATCTTTTTTTTTTTTCTCTGAGAATACTGGTGCATACATAAATGTGCACAAAGTGTGTATATGCATAAAATTAATAGCAGTAGTTTCTAGCTGTTTTAATTGTGTACACTTATGTGTTTTCACATGTGGTGCCTATGGCCAACAAGCAGTTCCTCTGTCCCTTGTCTGTACGTCTGCATTTGTCACATGGCTAAGCTCTTGCCAAAGAGTTTGTGCTGGAAATAATTTCACATTGCTTGATGGATTCTGATGCATTTTGGTGATAAAGGAGGACTCTCTAATACTAGTTCTTTTTTTTTTCTTGAAAACATAAGGTGTACAGAAATGGGTTTGTGTGTCTGAGACTGGTGTTGACATTGCAGTGTGTCTGTGCACATGTCCTCTCTCTGTAAATGACATGTAAAATGTGCCACTTCTTTCTACAATACTGAAAGGGAGAGACCTCTCTGAAGAGTGGTGGGGTGGGATATCTGTAAAGCCTTATGCCACAGTTCTGAAAGAAAAGTGATACCTGAGATGCTGACAACCAATTTGATTCTATGTGAAGTACAGAACAGTTAAATACAATAAAATGTGCAGTTGCTTGAAAAGTAAATGTGAAGAAGATTTGCTGGCTTGTAGGTAAAGAATTTGATTTAAAACTTGTTTGTGCATACATAGAATTGAAAGAAGTGTATCTGACATACATTCTTTTAATTTAAAATGACCCTATGTAATATTGACTTTTCAGGTACAGATTAGGTGGTATGGTATTACCAACTTTTAAGGAATGGATAGAAAAAGCCTTTGGAGCAAGTCTGGAGCACAAAACTACCTCTAGAGTAAGTAAATAGCTGAACCAGTTCCTTTGAACATTAGTCTTGGTGATAATCAAGACCACACCGTTAAAGATGATTCAGCTGTTGCACATAATTGATTTAAATATAGTGTATTAATACCTCCAGGTTTTTAAAAGAAATACATGATGTGGAATTACTATGTGGAACCTTTCATGCCTTAGCATGACTTGTGGTTTCAGGATAACTGGTAGTACATTTATTGGAATGAAAGTTTCCAACACGGGAAGTTTTTGTCCTTGTTTGTAACTTGCATTTCCAGACTGTAGAAACTGTTAGCCTAGATGGAGTTGTTTATGCAACATCAATTTTGTTCATGATAACAAAGACAGAAGATACAAAGAGGTTAAATTATGATGTGTTTTCGGTATGTGGGAGGTGTCAAAGTTCTTATTTGACAGTAATTCTTTTTTACATGTCTGGGTGCTGAAAACTGGCTATCAGAACACTCAAGATTGAAGTGAATATTTTCTGAAAAATAACACATTTTGAATGTTCTGGGTTTTGTAAATTATACATATTTTGCTTTTTAGAAAGAGTATCTTACGTTAGTGTCAGGAGACCTGACTCCCTTCGTATTAGAATTCCTTTGAAGCTTCAAGTTCCTAGAAGTTTCAGTTTCCTAGAAACTAGACAATTGCTTAAGCAGTATTGGAAGCAGGCTGTGATCGTTCTGTGACTGTAGCAACTCTGCTTTGGGTAACAGTTGTACCCATTCCTTGAGTGAGTTCGAGATTACCTGCTTCAAAGGAAATGCAGTCTCCTAGGGCCTGAAAATTTGGAATGTTTCTTCAGTCTTCTATTCATCAAGACATTCTTTCATCTTCTGTGACTTACAGGATCTCTGTCTGCCAATGTATTTTGAAAAAATTCACCTTGATGTGTTTTTGTTCACCAGGGTTGGTCTTAACTGGCAGCTACTTTAACTTGCTGGGAACAGAGGTCTTAAGAACTGTTCCCTTTCTATATGTAGAGAAAGTATAGAAAAAAGTAGAGTTGAAGGACAAGTACAGATTTCTGAATAATGCCCTGATTCCATAGTACATCTTGCAAACCAGCTTCATGGGATTTCTATCAGCAATGTTGAATGCATTTTTGTTTTGTTGTACCCCTCTGGTTCTGATGGTCTCGTGATCTGGAAGAGGTTGACTATCTTGACATAGAACAGGACTCTTTGGAGTCTCCAGTATCTATCTGCACTTCTCATAGTTATTCTCAACTACTTCTACAGGTCCCTCATTTTCGTGTCTGTCGTAGCTCCTAGTTTATATTTCAGTTTGTCATGCTGTGTAGGGTGTTTACCTTCTACTATCATCCAAGCATGAAGAAACTGATATAGGAACAGCAGTAGGAAGGGGTTCTTGGTTCATTTGTCTTTCTCTTTCTCTTCCTACCTGTATCCTATAAGATTGGAGGGTTCCCTGTTGCATGTGACTTTTCTGTTTAATTCACAACAGTAAGTGTACCTGCTTCTGTGATGCTCAGGGCTGTTGATGTTTTTTTCTTTTTTCAGACCAGACTTAACACTGACAGAAGTTTAGACCTAGTTTGCATAGGCTTCTTGTCTAGCCTTTCAGTGCACAAATCTTAAAATGTCTCATTCCCATGAAAATAAATAAAGGTATATTTTTGTTTGTCAGTGTGTGTAAGATTTTTGTAAATAAATATTAAAGTTTTAATCTTCAAGATAAAAACTAAAGGATTAAAAAACTTGTGGAAGAGTTAAAAATCAGGATAGTTAAAACTATCTGCGAGGAATTGTTACAGCTTTAAGTAAGTAGTTTATGTCCCACTTAGAGAGAACAAAGATCTTCAAGCAGTTAGTGTTCAGCTTGAAATGACGGGAAATAGTTCTGTCTAAGGAAATCTGTGAAGGAACAGAAGTGTAATATATAAAGTGTAAGCACAGCTAGCAGGGATTTTTCTTAAAAGAAGTGGTTTAAAGGTCTTAATTGGTACCTATTTGTTTGTTTCTCATGTTTCCCAAGTTTCTATTGAAGCTCTGTCCTTTGGGCTAGCAAATAGCATTATGTGAATGTGCATTAATAGCAGAACAGTAAGAGCAGCAATACAAGACCTGACTGTCTTTGTGCTTATTGTGACTGGTTCCTAAAATCATGATCTCTCAATAGCGGTGTGCCTCTCACCTAACAACACTTAATTTCAGCCTCTGTGTTTTTAGGTGACAGTGTGAATATATTGGAGGGAAAAGCCTTTTTCTCATCTGTCTGACAGCTTATTTCAAAAAGTACAACATTAAAACAAGTCAGGATGGCACATATCCTCTTCCAGGAGTCAAATCCTTCTTAGTTTCATTACATCGTGTGTCCCATAGGAAAATTCTAAACCAAACATTTGGCTATCCTTTTGAACCTGTAAATTATATTGGCTATCAGTAATGAACATCTCATGCAGCTGTTTCTTTCTGAATTATTGTTGTGAGTACTCTTAATTTCTACATAACCTTACATAGTTCCTTGTAGTGCACACTGGTAGGCAAGTTCCATCGCCATGGATCTTTTAAGTATCTGAAGACTTTTTCCTGTGGAAGTTTAAATCTTTCCTTCTTCAGCTCTCACAACTTTGAGACTCAACCCATTCAGAATAGACTGCTACTGTTGTGACATATGGGATATTATTAATCTCTGATTTCCTTGCTGTTAGCTTGTTAACTGGTACTATCTTCTAAGATTTTATCTTAAAACACGTACTGGCAAAAAGTATAAGCTTTCCTGGAGGTTATATAGAGCAAAGAGAGGCAAAACTCTGTTCCAGGAAAGAAAAAAATTCTTTGACTGTGGAACATTAGTGCAAAATAGTTTTTGGTGGTAGGGCTCTAAGCAAGCTCTTTGTGGCCTCCCTCAGCAGCGTGTAGTCTTTTCTGGTAACTCTATAACAAAAGTGCGAGCGCATTCCTCTCTTTGGGTTGATGTCAGTTAATTTGCCAGCAAGGTTCTCATGACAGAAATATGAAAGCAATACACTCTTTTAACTAATTTCTCTGCAACTCCTGATTTTTGAATCTGTATTTAAATTAAAAGAGATGTGGTAAAAAACCTTTCATTTCTACTCTTAGACTTGAGGGACTTTGCTGAGAGGAAGTAAGATTCTTGACCAACGTTTTCTTTTGAAATAGGACTTGAAGTGAAAAAGTTATATTTTAGTCATAAGACAAACTTTTTATCTAATTAAAGAACTCCTTAATTGGAGGCCGTTTGTAATAGAAGACATATTCCTTTAGGGAAATTACCCATATTTGCTCCATTTTTAAGGAGAAAAAAAAAATGGGATTTTTTTTTTTTTTGGAACCTTCAAAGCACATAGAAGTGTTACACTTAACATCCGCAAAGACTTTTTGACTTTTTTCTTTTAACCAGATCCTGTAAATTCTCATTCTTTAAGTGTGTTTAAAAAGTTGACACATGAGCTATATTTTTATGTGCCCAATAATCTAAAGTGGACTTGAGAAAAGAGAGTTAAGTGGCAAGATCTGCACTTTGAGAAACCATAAGAGTACTAGACAAGACATCTTTCAGAAGGACCTGGAAGAATGGGTCATTAGAAAACTTTAGGCAGAGGTTCTCCCCCTAGACTTACAGAACCTTGATTCGAGGCCTGTTGGTAAGTCAAAATGTCCCGTGTAGCTTCTTTGGAAGAAAAACTTTTTTCCAAGGTGTTATTGGGACTTCTGCCTGGGGGCTTTCTGGAAACGTCTTCATGTTTGTGACTCAACATGGATTTTATGAACTGTCTTATGGGTGAAGTCTATTTAAAGCATGCCAGTTATGTGATGTCAGTTGTGTCTGATATCAAACTTAGTTGTGCCTTGCACTGGATTTCTGATTAGGCTTTGGTCCAATTCGAATGGGAATTGGGGGAAACTAGGTTAGTGAAAACTGAAAACTCAAGTAAAAGAATTTGCAGAGTTGTAGTGGCTTTAGTATATACATACTATTGAGTATTTTGGGAAGTCTTAAAATAGGTATTTTGTTCAATATGCACTCATAAGCTAGCGTATTTTTCCAAATTTGTCAGGAGGAAGAAAGGTAAGAATGTGCTACTGAAATAAAACTTCTTGTGTGCATATAGTCAGCTGAGTAGTAGTTAGGATAAGTTGGATTGGTGGCTGAAGATCTGGAGGAGAACTGATTTCTTTCTGATCTGGAATAGTTGTGTTTGGGTATCAGTGTTAGCCTGTTTTTATTATTTCTGTTGTATAGAAATGCTGTAAGAGTGAACCTGTCTTTAATGAACTTATTTCTTGTATTATAGGCATCCTTAAACGTTAATGATGTACCTCCATCCATTGTAAATGAAGAATTTCTTCAGGATCTTATAGCCACTAAAATCTCATACTCCCAGGATGCAGAAGATAGGGTATTCAGAGCTCATGGTGAGAGAACTTTGTGTAACTTTGTGTAACTCTGCTGCTTTTGCTGCTTCCTTGTTTGAACTTGTTAACTTATTGTTTGTGTTTCAGGTCACTGCCTACATGAGATATTTGTACTCAGGGAAGGAATGTTTAAGCGAATTCCTGATATAGTTGTATGGCCTGGTAAGCTTTAATTGTCTTATTCTCTCTTCTGATCTGGGAGGCCAATGTTTGCTAAACTCCAGTGCTTTGTAGTCATGGGGAAGCTGTGTCTTGGTTTACTGACTTATCTTTACAGAAACTGAAGGAGTTCTCTCATGAATGGTTATTATGATTATTTAACATCTGAACTGCAGCTTGTCTGTGAAATCCCATCATTTTTGGGGGATGTCAAATTTACTATTAAATATAGCTGAGGCTTCTGTTAGCACATGAATTCATGACTTAAATAACCATAGTGTAATGTGAACCTGTATGTTCACCAAGTCGTTGTCTAAATGGCAATCCAGATTCTGATTTTTAAAGGCACACATGATGGTAGAAGGGTAGTGAAATCTTTGTATTAAAGAACTTTGTTTTATGACATGCTGTACTTCAGTAAAAACTCCTATCAGAACACTTTACAGAGGATCGCTGACTTGAAGAAAGAGCAGTGCAATCTGAGTATAGTCTAGGCCCACTTTAAATACAGTAATAACTAATGCTGTTACAGATAATCTATAGCAGAAAATGTGCTTCTTTCCGGTCTAGTAGAAGGATACAAAAACTTTCTTTGCTTCAGTCATGTGCCTCTGATCACTAAGAACTACTTCATGTGCTGTTCATCAGTAGTGAACCAAAAGGTTATTTGATCTGAGTACCTGTCAATTTCTGTTCAACTGTATCAATTCAGTTCTTTCCTGCCCTTTTATAACTTTGATAGCTGCACTGCATTACCCAAAAAATTTGTATAAGAACTTAATCCTAGGTCAGTTTCACCTCCTTTATTTAGAGGAAAAAATCACATATGGAAAACATTCAAAGAGGCGCTGTAAGATGCAATTCATTACTTGAGAACAGGTACTTATGTGACAGCACTGGTGACTATGAACAGTACTTGCCATAGCTTGTGTTTTGTGTAGCTCCAAAAGCAGCTGAAAAAAAATTATTAACTACTTTATTTTAAACTGCTCTGTATGGCAAGAGCAAAGTAGCTAGAGTTTGAAAACCATTTATTTAGTCCTGCTCATTCTCTGCTATTTGTACAAACTCATGTACAAACTGTATTTGATCTCTTTTTTCATCCTTTAATTAGTCTCTGCACAAGCATTTCTGCTTCCCTCTTTGTCCAGATACAGAATGCATTTTGAAGAACTAAATTTCACCAGTAATATCACTTCTGAAAATGAATGTTAACCAGGAAGAAAAGATGTGGTGTTCAGTTTTTAGAAGAGACTTATTTCTCACTTAAAATAAATTGGACAGCCTATTTTCAATAAAAGCTTTAATCTTGATTTGTTCTCCAAGATACTGAGATAAATTGTTAACTGTTTGGTAGCCCATCTGGCCCTGAGAATTTGTAGGAGGTCTAAATCCATGAGAAGAGCAAAAGACTTAAGACTGGTTAGTTTTTCAAATGTAGAGTTGTTTGAGGTCTAAACTTTACTCTGTAATGCCAGTAGTTCTGAACTCAGCTCTTATCTAACTTTGAAATGCCTTCCCTCCTGCTGTCAGAAAAGGAACTGCTGCTTATTCAGGCTGCGGTACTTTGTAATAAGCAAATAATAGTACTAAGCAGAACTCATGTTTTTGTTAACTGTTTGGACTTTTTTAGTTTGCCATGAAGACGTAGTTAAAATTGTGGAATTAGCCTGCAAACACAATCTCTGCATAATACCGTTTGGTGGTAAGTGTTATGAAATCTCGTATCTGTTTAAGGTCATTAGTGAAAATGCATTCTACTTTAATTTAAATATGTGTTCTTAGTCATATAGAATGCCAATAATTCAATAGTTAGATTTTTTTAGTAGTATTTTAAATGTGGTTTTAATTTTTTTTATGATCCCGAGGTATTAAAAGCAGCTATATTCAATTTAGTGGAAGTCATCAAAAGTATGTCAGTGCCTTGAATATTGAATGTACAAGAGGAATAACTATATGAAGCTGAAATCTACCTCTGTGCCTTGGAAATCTTCTAGGAAATAAGTCAGGAGGTTCAAATATTTGTATTAGATTTACCATGGTTTTGGATGCTTTACTTGTGCTCTATTCCCACAACATGTATAAATTAGTGGGGGGGTTGTTGTACTGTTGAAGTTTCAGGGAGGATTGCATTCAAATACTGTACTGCAAAATAATTCCAATTTCCCTTTAGACATTTTTCAGTTTGAAAGGTAGAGACTCCTGTGGCAAGGGGTTTTCAGGAAGTGTTCAACAGACAGAGTACGGGTAAAGACCTGTACAATCTATGTCTTTCTCAACCTAAAGAATTTCTTGAGGACTTCAGGTTTTTAATTGTGGATGCTTTTTCCTTTAAGCCACCTCAAGTAGAGGTGTGAGCTACCTTATTTTGACATAGAGCTCAGGGAACATGGGATGTCAGCTTTCATGAGCTCATTCTGTGGGAAGGTTTTTGTCAAAAACTCTTAAATCTGTGGTATAAATCTGCGTGTTTTATTTAGTACTTGCTTATGCTGTAGGAGTATAGCCTTTGTAGGAAGGATATTTACTGTTTGAGAAGATGAGCATATCACTTGATGGCAATATCAGATTTGTGGAGCTGGTTCCTCCTTAAAACAGTCTCACCCTTGCCAGATGCATCTGGAGACCTGCAAGACCATTAAAAGGTCTTTACCAGTACCACCTTGGTACTAGTAAACTGCTATAGCTGAAAGCAGTGATATTGACTATTTCTTGTTCAATGACCAGGACACAGAAAGATCTTCAGGTTGTTTTCCAAGTTTGTTTATAGTAAACTACAGTCAGCTCGTGGAGTTATTACAGTAGGGGCTGGTATTTAAGGAAAATGTCACTGAAAACAAAGGTAATGGGGTTTAGTGTTCTTGAGGAGTGTTTTATTAGCTGATACTGTCTCTGTACTTGCCATTGACTGCCCTTCTTGTAGCCTGCTGTAGATGTCTTTAGCATCCTATTTTCTCTTTTCCAATGGCTTTTGCAGTCTTAGAGAAATGAAAGGCTTCTTGGCATCCTGTAGAGACATATTAGAAAACTGGAGAAGTCTGACATTTGATTTCATCCATTTTTTTTATACTTATGCCCTTTCAGTCTATATTTTACTTTTAGATAAGTATTACATTCCTATATTAGGTAGACTTCTTAAGTCAGCTTTGTAGATTGAAGTGTAGTGGCTTCCATAGTGGTATCTAAACGTGATATAGAAACCATAGCTCTCCGTTTCTTCAAGGCTTTGTAAATTTGTATCCCTCTTTGTTTTAAAACTCTGGGCTGGCCTTAACAAAAGTAGCTGAGGTGGTCACAGAATGTTACGGTGTTTACAGAGTGCTGTTAAAGCATTGTCCAGCTCCACTGCTGCCAGTTTGTGAGAAGGGACAGCCCTAAAAGGCTAATCACTAGCCTCAAACAGTTCGTTCATTCAGTGATCTTACTTTATTAAGTTCCACATCAGAAAGGAGGGAGACAGACATGGTATTGGAAGAAAAGCTACCTGAGAATTTTATGATCACAATATCATTCCCATATTTGCAGGAGGGACAAGTGTCTCTAGTGCCCTTGAATGTCCTGAAGATGAAAAAAGAACAATTGTCTCACTGGATACATCGCAAATGGTATGTTCCTCTTAATGTTTTGTTTAAATTTTTTTAAATTATCCTCCAGTTACATCTTACAGTTACACCGGTGATCACAGGACATTTCTTTCTTTGCCAGAATAAAGTAGGGATGGAAATATTAATCTGTACCATGCATGATTAAATTGATACTCCTTCAGTTTAAGTGATATTTCTCTGATGTTAACCCTGTACTACTTCATATGACCTGTATGTATTTAATAAGAAAAAAGTCACTGCTAAGCCTTCTTATAGCAACTTTAAGTGAAAATCAGGGAAGCCACTCATCTTCTATACTGGAACTTGCATCTGATGTTAAATGAAAAGCTAAGAGGAAGTTGCTATTGCAAATTTCACTAGTTTTTGCAGACTTTAAATTACTTAAAGCAAAGATTAGGAAGGTGACCTAGTATCTATAAATCACCTTGAAGGATAAACTTTCAAGAAAAAAAGTCTATTTTTTCTGGTGTAGATAACATCTTGAGAATGTGAAGTTCATAGCTTTATGGCAGTCTAGAAATGAAGTTCTGTGAAATTTATTGCTAGTTTTCATCTTTCCATTATGAAGGAGCTTTATACTTTTAAAATGATAGCTTTATGGCTACATAGTAATGAGATGCTTCAGGAAGAGCTCTGTATCTTTGATGTAAGGCTCTACTGCCTCCAAATACCTGCTCAGCTTAATTCTTTTAGCCTTGAAGGCAAGATCTGGCGTTGGGCTCCATTTTCTCCACTCAGTCAGCGGTCCTTCAGTTAAACTTGTTTCTCTCTATTTTTAGCTACAAAGTGGTATTTTCTGCAGAGGTATTAGTTGCATATTGAAGGAAGCTCTTCAGGTGTCTGTGTGGAGTGAAATCCAAAGAGTATAGTAGTGACTCAGGCCTTCATTTGAACTCATTGATTTATAGGCCAAAGCTTTGACTTCTGTTGGGGAGTGGGAAGGAAATGTTGTTAATTCTTACTATCATGGTTCTTTGTCAGCTAGATATGTAAGTATGCAGTGAGTTAGAAAATAGACCACCTTCATGCATCTTGAATGACTGCCAGCCAATTCTTGTAAACATTAATGAAGAGGGAAAATAAGGAAACTAAGGTGAAAAGAAGCATTGTCAGAATGTTAAAACCTGTGTATGTCGGAGCAGTTAAGATGGTTACCTGAGCTTTGCTTTTTTAATATGTATATGTATTAACATATATATGTAGTGTCTGTATTAGATAAAAACTGATTAATGTAAGCATCTGAGATAATTTATACAGTTTATGTTGAAACTGAAGGTGTCTAGAAGGAGCTGAATTAATTGGCTTTGAATAATTAGACCATACTTTTTGAGGGGGAGACAATTTTTTTAAATTTAAGTTTGACTACAAGATGTCTACATTTCTTTAATTTGAAAAATCAAGGCAGAGAGAAGTTACAGCTGTTCTCCTTCCATATGATATTAATACACAGAGTTATCCAAGTACACCAGAAGTGTACTAAACAATAGAGGAGCAGCAGAAACTTCTAAAGTGTCCCTAGTATATTTGTTAAGTTCCTTAACCATATTTGTTAAGTTTCTCCTTCATGTGAACTGTCCTCACGGAGAATCGTGCTTAGTGCACCGTGTAACTTGCAGTGTTTACTACTTTTCCTGTTTAGTAGCATATGCTGATGGGACAGTGAGTGTCTCGTCAGACAATATGATGTAATCCTTCCAAGTATCTTAAACTTCTGAAGTATGTACCTACTGTGGCATTCTGGTGTACTGTGTCAAAATCCAAGAGCTGAACTGGAATAACTGAAAGCACTCTATTTAACCGATGCAGTTGAAGAGTACTTGGTGTATTCTTAATGTTCAGATAGTCAGATTCAGGTACCTTCAGTCATGTTAATTGTGGAAATCATCGTATTGCTTAACCCCTGTAAGAGTTTTGACTTAATTATTTCTGGCTTTTTTGCTTTGTTTCTGTGAACATTCCTAGTATAAATTGACTAATAAGTCTGTTACTCCCTTATAGTGGTGACTTTATAGATTGAAACCTTAGTGTATCTGTTTGAGGGAGTGAAGAGGCTCAGCTTCCACAGCTGTAATAACTGGCGTGGTATTAATAGTAAATTGTATGACCAAGCATGTTGATCCTAGCATTAGGAAGGGAAAAACCAAAAATTTTGAACACTGGTTCTTACTTTTGATTGACTTTTCAACAGAATCGGATTCTCTGGATAGATGAGAAAAACTTAACAGCTTGTGTAGAAGCTGGCATTGTTGGACAAGATCTGGAAAAACAGGTATTTTTATCTGGTTAAGTGGCTAGTATTTTTTCATATTTTTCTTAGGTGTTCCTCACGTCTTGTCCAAAGCATTGAAGTCTAGTTTAATCCCTGTGTGTTTCATGCAGCTGGTGTGGTAAGAATTACATGCATTGGCTGTGAACCAACCCTCCCTAGTATATGACCAGTAAACATACAAAGCCACAAGTTCCTCTAATATGAGAGAGAACCATGAGGTAGATGAATCACCATAACTTAAAGACTTTCAATCTTTAAGTTAGAACCACTTCCTGCAATAGAACATAGTTTGTGATCCACATTGTGTGGTGTACTTAAGTACCCCTGTCCAACGTTGTTATCAGTTGGTCAGTGCAGATTGATTATCTCAAAGGCATTAATGCAGTTACCACTTAATGTGAGACTACTTGGTCTTTAATTCTTGCTGTCAACAGCTTCAGTGTTGTAATTCTGGGGGCATCCAGTCAACCTCAGGTGCAGATGGTAAAGCCAACTTAATACAGAAAAATGAGAAACCAGTGACTACTTAATGTACAGGAATGTGTGATCTGCATCACAAATAGTTGACAGTGTTGCATACAGGAAGCCCAACCAGATGGCTGTGTATTAAAACACATCTCTCCTTGAGAGAATTAAGTACAGGCAATTTACTCACATTTTCTGTCAGACCTGCTGCATAGAAAATAGGATAGAAAGAACAAGAGATTAAATGCCTTATTTATTGGCAGCATTTGTGCAAAGTTGGCACTTACTTAGTTATAACTTTTTCCATATGTATTTAAATGTGCAGCTTCTTTTGAACAATAGAGGTCCTTTAAAATATGGGGCAGCAGTATTATAGGGTGATCCGTGGCAGTGTGTGCACAGTAGAACTAGAATCAATTTGCATTCCATGTACATATCAAAGATAAAACTTGTGCTTGAATAAATTGGTGTGTGATTGGGATACTTATTTTGGAAAAAAAAAAAAAACAAAACCAAAACAAACCAAACAAATACAGAGTATTGAATTTGAAGTACTAAGCCAATGCAGGCTCTGTAGGATGTGCTTTTTTCCTTTCTTTAGCTTGCTGAAAGTGGCTTCTGTACAGGCCATGAACCAGACTCCATGGAGTTCAGCTCACTAGGAGGATGGGTAGCAACACGAGCATCAGGCATGAAAAAAAACATCTATGGAAACATTGAAGATCTGGTAAATAGTTTTAATACTTTTTCTAATTATTCTGTTCCAAGATTTAACTTTAATAATGACTCACAATGAGAGAAAGGAAAAGTAAATTGTGATTCTTTGTGTGATACAGTTTTGGCATCAAATCTTGACTGAAGTGCTTGTTTGCTTACTTATGTTATTAATGGTAATAATCCTTACCACTGATCTAAAAGTAATTTTCATTTGGGTACTCACTGTGTAGCCTAAGGAATTGTTACCCTGTCCCGACTCTGGTGCTGTCTTCTACCACTTTGTGCTCTCTGTTAATCCAGTAACAATCCTGTCAAGCTTTTAGGGTGATTCCAGAATTCCCATGTTTTCTCCTATTTGTTATGTGTACCTGAAGATGTCTAGTTGGACTATCTAACTCTGACAGCAAGCTAGCTCTTCCCACCTTTCTGGATCCCCCTAGGCTAGTAGTTTTTTTCAGATCAGTAGGCTGATCTAACTGACCATGTGGATGCACAATGGTAAAATCTAATGCCACCACACAGTCTGTAGGAACCCAGAGGAAGGAAGCAATACACTGGGAATGGCAGTATTCTACTCTTGAATTTGTTTTAAGCATCAAAATGGTTCATCTTTATATTAACTCAGGTAATTTTTTTGGTTTTAAGCACACTTTTTGATTTTAAGGTCCACATTTTCTGTTATAATTAATATATTGAAGATATTGAAGCTAAATCATCACTGTTCAGACTTTGCCTGCATTTTTGCTTCAAACTTTCAGCTTTCTCTAGTAGTTTGTACAATAACCCTTCCACACGTGAATTTTTTCATCCTTTCCTGCAGTGCACTCTAGGTAGTGTATCCCTGTCACCTCAGGCCTTTTCTTCAGCACATAGTTCAGACCTGTTTGTTCTGTGCACAGATGTGACACTTCACAGTCAGTGACTGAGCTTGGCAGGAATTACACAGTTTTTATTCAGTAGACCTGGCTGAACTAAAACTAGTAGCACTTAAAGGGTGTCATCGTTCCCCTGCTGCCTGAAGTGTTTCTGAATTTGGATTGTGCTGGGAGTTGTGAAGCAAAGGGCCTTTTTCTTATGGAAGCATAACTTCAGGCTTGAACAGCTTCTGAAATTTTCATTAGGAGGAAATAGGATTGAAAATTGATTCAGAACAGTTCATGGGTTTCAAAATGGCACAGTGAGAATTTTTCAGGGAAGTGTTTACCTTCCAAGGAAACTTTTGTATCTTGAAACAATGTGTTATATAATCTGCCTAAAATACACTTGCTGCAGAATCAGTGGTTCATAAATTACATATAATAAAAATTACTTAGCTATCTGTGCTTGAAAGTTTTAAAGCCATTAATTGAAACTCAGTAATTTTGCTTCATTTAAAGGCATCACTAAAAAAAAACCTGAAACTCCACCCTTCCTTGGTATAAAATAATCAAGTAGAAGATAAAAAGCCCCCCCATCCCGGGCTCTATTGCATGTGCCTGAATATAGCTGGAAGCAAAAATATTGAAAAATATGTTTTAAAAAACAACCTTCTTACCCTACATATGTGTAAGTCTTATGACAGATTTTATATGGATAATCTATTTCACAAAGTCTACTTCTTTCTTTCCTCCTAATGGAAATATTTCTGTAGCAATCAATGGCTGAATTATATTAGCCTTATCGAGCAGCAGTTCTAAAGCAAAACTTAAGCAAAGTTTAAATCCTCACTTTTTTCTTGGAAGTACTGTATATATTCTGGATTAAAATCCTGGTATTTTTAAAGTTCTGTCTACACTGAGAAGCAAAACAGTTTTAACTGGTATTTCCTGCATGTAACCAACAGCTGATATAATGTGCCAAAGAACTGGAAACAGTCTGTTGTGTGGGGAACCATACTGTATTATAAACAATTGTTGGTAATAATCCTTGGGTTATCCAAAAGTTCTTGGGGTTAGAATGCCTAAAATCTACAAAACTGAACTGGATCAAGTTTAATATTGTTTGTAGAAAAGAAATATAATAAAAATTGTGCTTAATGCTAGTATTTCTAATCATTGCATATTGATATTGTTTAAACAGGTGATTCATATAAAAATGGTAACTCCTAGAGGAATAGTAGAAAAAAACTGTCAAGTACCTCGCATGTCAACAGGACCCGATATCCATCACTTCATTATGGGATCTGAAGGTATAAACACAGCATCTTCACTTACTGCATCTTAATTCAGCTTCTGTAGTGGATTGATTGTTTGAACATCTTTAATGCTGTGGTTTCCGGTGTGTTGATAGGTGGCATTGTGCAGACAAAATTTCTAGTGTTAGGATAATATATTGAGACCTTAATTAGGACTGTGAAGTTAAACAGCCTTTAACGGTGCTTTAAACAGACCTGTGGAGTTAGCCTACAAGTCTAGTTACAAACATCATCATTTAGAGGATTTTTTTTTTTAAGAATTCACCATGTAGCTAGTCAGATATAAATCCACTACTACTGCAAACTGAATTTTTGGGATTTCAGATTTATGTTAACTTACAGCATCCTGGTAAGCAGTTGTTAAGTTGGGTAACTTGCAAGAAGTTTATCCTGGAAAATTTTGCTCAGTTTTTCTTTTCTCCTGAAGGAACCCTTGGAGTGGTTACTGAAGTCACGATAAAGATTCGTCCAATCCCTGAATACCAGAAGTATGGCTCTGTGGTCTTCCCCAACTTTGAACGAGGGGTGGCCTGCTTAAGGGAAGTGGCAAAGCAGGTAAAGAAAAGCTGGATGTTGGCTTCGCTCAAGGACATGGATTCTAGCATAGGGATGTAGATGCTTTAGTATTTATGGCATTTGATAACTGAGAATCTGAGATAGGAATCTCGTAAACATATGTGGTCGATGAAACAGAGTATATGGTCCATGAGGCTTTTGGAAATTATGCAGTTGAGGATTGAGCATTTTATGAGTTTGCTTAGTATTCTGAGCCAAAATGTGGACAGGCCTGTAATGGCTTGTTTCAGTGCAAGTTATTTGTGTATTGCAGCACAAAAAATTTGGCTTTGCATCTCCTTCAACTGAGAACTTTACCCTCAGATTACTTGTGACTGTATAAAAGGGACCAATATTTAAAGGAATTAAGTTGCAGCGTACAGGTAAAAGACAGTTGAATTTATGGCTCTGAAGTGGCAAAGGAACAAAAGGAATGCAATGGAAGGATGTGGTTTGTGTTTAGAACTCAATTCCTGGAGCACAATGACATGTTCAGGTGAGGTGGGTATTTCAAGGTGCAGTTGTGCTTACACTGTAGTATTTAAATAGAAAATAGTGTAGTCAGATGGTTTCAGGTAGCAAAACTCATACATGGTACCCAAATTCTGTAACACTTTTTCTCCAGGCTATGCTTTCAAACATATCTTACACTGGCTGGCCTCTTTCTCCACTGACTCAATGTTCTTTGCTCAGTGCAAAACGTATCAAGTCGTACATATGAATGGTAGAATGTACCCTGAATTGGGGAAGTAATTTCATAAATGTTTTAATTAATGCAAAACTAAACACAGCTTTACATTTTTTCCAGTGATTGGTCTAAATTAATGGCTTAATGTTCCAAGCCAGATGTTCAAACTGGTATGTGAATGACATGTATATGCTAGTCAGCAGCACTTGCCAGTTTTTCTGTCGTGCTTCTACTGCTAGTGCTTGTCCTTCCTATTAAAGGTACCTAAGCAGACTTTTTGAGAATGCCTAATCATATGGCTGATGAACATTTAAAGTCAGTTAGGGAACTAGTGTCTTTTCCCTGTCTTAGTTAGAAAAGGCAGGGAAAAAGGCACGATTTGCCACTTAATGTTGCTCCATTTCTAAGCTTCTGTTGCTGCTGCTGCTGTTTCACTGCTTATTTGAGCCTGAACTACTTATTCTTCTCTTCTGTTGCCCCTTGCATCAATCTCAGTAACTATTACAATGATTGCTATCTGAAAAGCTGTTTCTTTTATGTAGCAATCCACTTAAATGTAAGAATAATCAACCTGCAGGTTGTGGGTGGGTTGATCTCATTTAAAACCGCTCATATAGCCTTCTTCTGTCAACCTGCCTGGTGAGCTATCTTAGTTTTTCACATTCCTTCTTCCTGTTGGGTGACCAAGGATATATTAACAATATTATGAAGGGTGAACTTGTGAAATTAGATGAACAGATAAGTGTTTCCATATCCATGTGATTAGATGATGACTAGCCTAAAATTCAGACTTTGTCGCATTCCTCTGGTCGTACATTTCAGTATGACTGGACATGACCATCAGAGATTATACAATGGAGGCATATGCATGAAGATGACCTAATTGAAGGCAGCTGTTCTTACTGTCTGTGATTTCTGCACAGTGCAGAATCTAGATTAGACACAGGTATGGATTTTAATTGCAGTCTGATGGCAGAGCATTAGTATATGGGGTCTAGCCAGGATGGAGTTAACTTTCTTCATAGCAGCCTGAGTGATGTTAGCTTTGGTGTTTGAGACCAAAACAGTGTTACCACTGCAGTGTTTTAGCTATTGCTGAACAGTGTGTACACAGTATCAAGGCTTTCTCTGTTTCTTACTCTTCCCACCAACAAGTATATTGGGAGCAGACAGGAGGCTAGAAGGGAAAACAGCTGAAACAAATGACCCAAATTGACCAAAAACAGATATCATAAAACATCATGACCATAAGTAGAACTGGAGGGGGGAGTTTCCCAGGGGTTACCATTGCTTGAAGACTGGCTAGATATTGGTCAGCTGGTGGTAATTGATTGCTTTTTACATCATAATTTTGTGGATTTTTCCCATTTTGCTTATCCAGCTGTCTTTATCTCAACCTGCATATTTTCTCACTTTTGCCCTTCTGATTTTTCTCCCCCATTCCACTGAGGAGAAGGTTGTGTACAACAGCTGTGTAGTGCTTAGCTGCATGCCAGAGTTAACCCTCAACAATTAGACTTTTCCAGTGGATTTGTATTTTAAGTGTATCTCTGATTACACAGCAACATAAGCTTAATGCACTAAACAAGTATTGTATCTTTAGTTCATATGCCAATTTAGAAAAACACTCAAAACTTGAAGGTCAAGGTTTTTTACTGTTCCTATGTTGGCTTGAGGTTAAACTGAAAATTCTCAATGCATTACGTCCAGCCATACTTAAGAGATGTTGCTATTCAAGCAAAAACAAGCTTATAGTCACACCTTTTCAATGATGATGATGGCCATAGGTCTCTGGTATCAAAGTGTGCTTTCTTGTATACTACTTTAAAGTGATATTTTGATTATAATAAATTTTAAAACCAACAATCATTTTATTCTTCCTCCCTCTTATTCCCCTAACTTTGCCTCCAAGAGATGTGCTCCTGCATCAATTCGCCTTGTCGACAATGCACAGTTTCAGTTTGGTAAGTATGTAGATCATCTTGGAGGAGTGTCTGTTTCCAAGGGGTTTTTAATAGCTTAAGTCTGTTTTGGGTCATAATTCTTTTGCTCAAAACTAGTTTAAGAAGGCAATGAACCCGAAGTTTGAACTCCAGATAGTGCCACAACATGTAGTTTCAGAAAACAGAAGCCTGTCTCTGTCTCTGGGGAAATAGTATCAACTAATTGAGTCAGTAAAGAGCTGTGATCTGCATATAAGTACATGAGATGGGGTTTTTTTGCTGCGTTTTCTTTCTTGGCATAGTCTACTGGTGAGTTTGAAATTCTGGAGTCACTTCCTCTATTTTGCTGTAAAGGAGCAGAGATTATAGTTTTGAAGTACAGTACCTGAAACATTTTCTTCCTAAGAGTATTAATGAGAAGTTGGATATGAAAAAAAATTAGAATGCCAGCACTTTACTTTGAAGATAAGTGGTTTGATGCCTTTAAATTTCATGAAAGCATCACAATTGGTACACAGATTCCTTAGAAGTAGCAGGTTTTTTGAAAATATTCTGATGTGGCAATGTTTGATTGAGAGAAGAGTAGTAGGAGAGAAGCAGTAACATACTTGTCCAAAGTAAGCTATCTGTTTTCAAAAGAAGCTCAGATGTAGTAAATGCTGTAATTGTGTGGAAATACAACTAAGCTGTGGGCTTTAAGTCAGTGAAGCTACTAGAAGATTACTCAAGACAAAGATTTTGTGAAATTTCATGTAGTTCAAATACCTAAATAGGACAATGTCAGACGTGCAGAACAATCATTTTTTAGCATTTCTTAGGGAAGCCTGTTACTTTAACTCTAGTAAATTTGACAAAAGATATGTTCTGGCTCAAGATGCTCTCGTGGCGACCTTAAATTCCAAAATTATTACCCAAATAATATTACCCAAAAGCTAATAGCTTGCAGAACTTGAAGGTCCTGCTGAGACCATGCTATTTGGATTGCACCCAGAAGATGAAAATGTGAAGTGTGACTGATCTTGAAAACCCCCATTTCAGTATCACTTCAACAAGTCAGAATTTCTGAAACTTCTTTTGGACAGAAGCCTCAGTGATGAATCTCAACTTCAAATGGCATTAATATGATGATGTTGAGAAAGCTGAATTTCGTTTTTCAAACCAAGGAAATGGGGATTTGTTAGACCCAAGAGCCCAGCAAGCCTTACTTTGCTCCCTCTTTTATGTTACACTCTTTCACTCACACATTTCCAACAGAAGGCAGATGGTTTTTTTTTACTTTTTCATTGGGAAGCACAATTTGACCAATTACAGGCTTGAAACATAGTTTGAGGTATGTCGATACAGGTTTTTCTTGATGCACTATTAAGTAATTTTTTAGCTTCAGATCCTTTTATGATGTGATGCTTTTTTGTGTGCTTAGTTAAGTGTGCTTGGAGGTGTATTCCATGGTTTGTGTCAGCAGAGAGAGTCCCTCCTTACTGATGAGGAAAGAAGAGTAGTCAGTTGCTGAAGTTCAAGGGTTATTCAGGAGGAAATACTTTGTAAAGTATTTTAGAAGAAAGTATCATGTAAATGGTGCATAACTTTTTATGAATTGGGCTCACAGCATGTAGGCCAGATGCCAGGCTGCTAGAGTGAAGCAGTAATGGGAATTCAGAAGTTGTTTGTGACGGAAAACAATGGAACAAACAGTAAAAGACTTTCATCTCAATTAAACCCAGTCCTGAGGCAGAGATGTTAATTTAACAGGCTCCAAGACACCATTTATATATCCTGGTAATTTTAGTTCCCCGTTTGTCATTAAGGAAGCAATTACTAGCTTTATGTAGAAAACTTCACACAAGTGACATAACTGTTAAGGAAAAACTTGCTTAACTTCTAACTTGCACCATTTTTGGCTGTTTGTTTCAGTGGTTTTGGCATAACTTTAAAAAAAAAGGTCACTGATTTTTGCTTAGCTTTGTAGTGTAAAAGCTAATTAAATACTCTCTTAAAAATTTTTCATGTACCATAGGCTTGTGAAATCTAACCTAGGGCAACCTTAATTAAAGCATCAAATATTTGTACACAGTTGAATATATGTCTTCAAAAAAGTAATGAAACCTTTTCCTAAATCATCTTCTAAATGATTAGAGGGAATTCTCTTTGATTTTGATAATTGAAGTGCTCCAAGTGATTCTGGCAATTTTGACTACCGAGCCATTTTTTATTTGCCCATTGAAGTAGGTAGGAATCTTAAGAGCATTGTTTGCCTTAATGCACCTTTTTCTGCTTCTTGCCAAAGGTCATGCTCTTAAACCACAAGTTGCTTCCATTTTTACATCATTTTTGGATGGACTGAAGAAATTCTACATCACAAAGGTAATTTGAGGGCTTACTACTGTTTCAAACTTCGCATGCTATTCATAAAATTCAAGATTTTTTGCCAAACTGCTTCTAATGCAGCTGAGTTTGTGTATTACTGATACTGCAATGTGAGATATGTTAAAGGTGGTTTAATTCAAACTGAGGTTATCTGTTTGAGGAGTTATTACATGAGAGCTGTTGTCACTGTTCATACCTGTAGCTGAGATTAGTGTGCCTTTGTCTGGCAGTAAGTCGGTGACAGGGGGAGACTGGAACCAGTTTATCCAGCAGTGATTATCAGTTAGTACTGATGGAGGGGGGCTAACACTATAGAATATTTTTTACTTCACATATTTTGTCAAGGCATGACCTACCTTGTTAATTCAATGAACTAGAATTTAGTGAGAATCTCAAGATACTTGTCTTGATTTGCCCATGTCAGTTGGCTTTTTGTCTTTCTGGAATTCATCCCTTTGTAACCTAGAATTTGGTGCTAAAATGACACCACTTAGGCTTTTGTATTAAATAATTTGTCTTAATATTGAATTTTCCTCCATAATAGCCAACTAGAGAGTTCCTGCAAATAAGGGTATTCAAATGTAGAAAATTGCATGATCATGGATTTGGATAACTGTTAGATAAGAGGAGGTAAACATTCCATTCATATAAATACGAACAGATACTCATATGAAGCGATATGATAATACCAAGTGCCTTCAAAGAGTGTGCTTACTTTTGAAATACAGTGGCTGGTATTGATTCTGCAGCTTTTTCTTGGACTACTGAAGTGGGAAATAACATGTGTCTGGGGTCTTCTGTTGTTAGGGAATACCTCTTAGGTTTTGAGATGGCCCAGAAATTTTGCCTTCCACCCTGACCTGCTGTAGTGCAGGAATATCTTAAGTAATAAAGGTTTTGGCAGGAAGATTGTTGTCAGGTTGAAACAATCCTAAGGCAGCAGTATCTACTCCTTCTGCAGTCAGCAACAGACATCACTGCTTCTTGGGATATTGTATCACAAAGGGATGTTGTATACCAATTACAATTCTTTCAGCTCTTCAGAGAAAAAAAAATGTGGAGCAACAAGAGAAATGCTATGCAATACTGATGCATAGATCCCAGGCTGGTGACCAATCCTTGGCTCTTATGTTAGGGCTCACTCCCCTGGTGCATATGAGCAACTGCTACTTCAGAGAAATTCCCAGCTGAGATGGGAGGTAGGAATAGACAAAAGGAATCGGTTTAATGATCCTGAGACTGCTATTGCAGGTGTTATTGGGACCAATATGCTCAAATCCATCTTATACCTTATTTCATCTGTGAATCTGGAAATGTTCACTGATAGAAGAATGCCAGGTATTGCTAGGAACTGTATTTCCTCAAGTGCCTCTTGAAGACAACTGTAAGGTGTTAACTGATCATTACAGCCAAAAGATGGCAGAATAGATAAAAGGATTCATACTAAATGAAATACAAGTGGTTCTAGGACAAGGAGGGACTGTAAATACCATCTTAAACTTCAAGGACAGAAATAAAGGTCTATTATCATTGTAGTAAAAATATTTCTTTCTGTTTATTAGCTATGCTGTTTCTGTAGGACTAGTGGGTAAGACAGATCCTTTGCCTGGTGGGGTATATTCAGCTTTGTAGTAGTTTTCATGATGTTTTATTGGGGTACTGGGATTTTCTGTGGCACACTGCTGATACAACTATTCTTAGAGCAGTGACATTTATGGTGGTCATAGTCATCTTCCTACTTTAAAACATCAATAATTGATAGAATATAAATGTCTCTATTGCTCAAAGCATTTAAGACATATTTTTTCTACAGCATGGGTAGACAGCTGTTATGTGTATCCTGCTTTTTAACAGGAGGAAAAAGATGACAGATAATTTCTGTAAATTCTTGAAAGATTTTTTTTTCCCTAAACTTTTCTCTTTGTTGCAGCAATGTTTATTGACCAGAGCACATGCCATGTATTTGAAAAATAAAAACTTGTTGCTTGTATTCTACCACATAGAATATGAATAATGCAAAGTTTGTCTCTCTTCGCAGTTTAAAGGGTTTGATCCCAACGTACTGTGTGTAGCTACCTTGCTCTTCGAGGGTGACAGAGAGAAGGTTCTTCAACATGAAAAGCAAGTCTATGATATTGCCACCAAGTTTGGGTATGCTTTTCAAAGAACTTTTTCAATTGGAAACTGGGCATTAACTATCCAGAAAAAAATAGGTCTGCTGTACTTTTGTAGTGATTACTGTATGGATATGTTCTGAGTTTACTAGTTGGAAGTGGCAGCAATCGATTAGCTATTGAATGTTCTCTTTGTTAAATAAGCCTTGCACTAACTCCTAGGCAACTTTACTGAAAACCTTCAGCTCTCTGTGTATTGCAATTCAATATTTTACTAAATAGAATTGATGTTTTTAGAATGGAAACCAGCCCTTTTAATTGCTTGTTGGCATGGAAGTGGCTTGTTTTGCAATACTAGATTTACATTTTGACTACAGAAGGGGGAGGTAAAATCATAAGGGTAATACTAAATTTTTGCAGAATTGATGGGAGCATATGAATAGAAGAAGCTTGTTTGGTTAAAGGAGTGCAGTGACTTTCTGTCCCACAGACTGTTTTATGTCCTTACAAAGGAACAGAAAGCACTCATTGAAGTGGCAGGCTGAGTAGTGATCAGGTAGTTTCTTCTGCTTTGATTAAGCATGACTGATGAAAACCATCATCAAAAACGTGATTTGTCAAGATGTACTCTTTTTATTTTTAAGAAAGTTTTTGCTAATGTTGGTCTCAGCTATTCAAACGTACATATAAGTATTGTTTTATCCATTTCAAGGCTCTCCTTTCTGAAATTTGTGTTTTCATTGTGCTTTCTTTCTATTACTTTTACTATGAACCCTTTTGTATTTTGGTATTTCAAGATGATGGTGTATTGATAAGGGACATTGGAACTGTTAGAAGATGGTGCTGTTTGTGCTGCTTAGTTAAGGCTATTAGTTAAGTGTTTAATGGTTTAACCTGGTTTAAAATGCTAAACCGTTTAATGCTTTTATAGTCTAATGTGTCTATCCTTCTTCAGGATTTTCTGTCCTTCAGGATGTCTGATTTCACACACACATGCCTTTCTGGGATTTATGGGAACTTCTAGAAAGATTGATTAAGATACATAGCACTTTCTTGTTATTAGAAACCAACAGTTAAAAATAAATGATTGCATAATGATCCTTGATAGACTAGTTAAAGCAGGGCTTCCTTTTTCTTTAGCACTATGGCTTTTGTGTTTTGGTGTTATTTTAGTTCATTCACATCTCTTACACTTTTGGGATCTTAAGTCAGGAATCTTGCTCTCATGACCTGTGAGCATACAAGTGCACAAATTCAGCGTGCTTAGAAACATAGTTACACGTGTTCCTGTAAATTAATATCCAGGATATACTATGTCAACTTGTGTTTCTCTGCTCTCTTGTGAGTTTTGAAGACTGTTATTTTAAGATCACATCAAGTGTTTTGTTATGTTCATCTCTCTTCGGGTTATTGAATGAAAAGACAAATGCAAAGAGTTAAAGGTCTGGTCTGAAGTAAGTTCTGTTTTTTAGTGAAGAGACCCTACTGTTTTCAACTATTTTAACGCAGCTTAGGCAGCTAAACTTGCACATATGTTTAATAGTCAAAGTTATTTTACAAATATTTTTATAAACTGGTGACTGCTTTGCTGGAAAGTGAATTAAGGTCTTGTAAATTACAGTGGCTTGGCAGCAGGAGAAGATAATGGACAGAGAGGATACATGCTGACATTTGTCATCGCATACCTTCGGGTAGGTCAGCTTTTGTTTGTCTGCTGAAACTTCTGTTAATTAATATAACAAAACATAGAGATGTCTTTTTGAAGATGCCCTCTCTGAAATCAAAGTGCAGGTTGCCTTGGATGATATCTCAGATGTCTCCCAGAGGTTGTATCTCTTCCATTTCTGACTAGTGGAACTTCACCTGCAAAACACCATAAAGACATTACTTTATATTCTTGTTAAAAAAATAGTTTCTCATAAAGGATAGAGAAAATTGGATTGAAGAATCCACAGGTTGAATGAAATCAGAGTCTTGGAGAGTACTTGAAATACCCATGTGCTTTTTACTCTCAGAAGATCTGCTTTTGACTGTGGTTTGAATCAGAATTCCAAGATAATGGACCTTTTGTCTAAACTGCTGCAGCTGTTCTTATGAATTATTGTCTTACTGTTTGAGATTATTTATTTTTCAGAATAATAGGCATATCCCAACTGTTTGATTTTATTTGTCTTTTATAGTCAGGGACAAATCACTGAATTTCCCTCTATTGCAGCAGGCTATATGTAAAATGGGAAGGTATTTGTCTTTATTCTACCTAGATAGTAACTACATTCTAAATAAATATTTCTACTAGGTGTTACGATGGTTAGCACAGTAAAGCTCTTGGCTTGATACTATGGTTATACAAGTGTTTGATTAGTGTAGACATACTGACTGTCTGACAAGTTCTCACTGTAGCCTTGACATCAAAATGTTTGTCATCTTTGTCTTTATTAAGAGCTTCCCTATTATTTCCATACTAATAAACTTACATCACTGGGACAGATGGGTGGTTTTGCTAAATTAGAATTTCTGGTTTTCTCACAGAAAATAAAAAGTTGTTCAATTGTTAGCTGTGTAGCATACACTGGATGTTGATGCTGAATGTTACTGATAATTTCCTCACTCTATTTACTAGGACCTGGGCCTGGATTACTATGTAATAGGAGAATCATTTGAGACATCTGTTCCTTGGGATAGGTAAATTGTGATTACTCTTTAGAATGTCTTAAAACTTGGTTTCATTCAAATTATTCCTAACTCATGTTTGCTCATGGGGATATTTAGTTTAGGCCTTGTGTTTTTAGTGCTCCCTGACATACCTCAAGTCTTGCACCTATGTGTTCTTGCTAGTAAATTACTTATCAGGATTTTGTAAATGCAATGTATCAAGCATTCAGTAATATTTCTGCATAGGTTAGCTTATTGTAACAAATTTAGAACTTGGAATTGCCCATTGAACTTGCCAATTGAAACTGCACATTGGTGACAATAACTGCAATGGGTGATGAGCAGCCATGTGTGTGGGATCAGCTGCATATTTCAGAGAAGTCTGTGGTGAAGATAAAAAAACCTTTTAAGTGTATTTAAATAAGTGGGCTTTTTTCTCCAGTAATATAGGGAAATGAAAACGAAAAAGGTAACTTTTGCCCAAGATTAAGATCTTTTTCCTAAGCTTATTTTTTCTGTTAGATATGGTTGAGAAATATTTGACTGCAACAGAGTTTAATATACAAAATCAGTTTGGATGCTTCTGTCCATTTGGTAAGCCGGAAGTCTCTTAAGCAGGATCTAAGGTGATTTGAATCAAAGCTTTACAGCATTCAATGCAAAGTCTGGGGACTCAAGCTGGCAAGCCTGTATCCTTGCTGTTGAATTTAGTGACAGTGATAAATTCCAGCCCGTTTGAAAATTGGCAAAGTTATATTGAGTGGAAGAAGTGTGAGAGCAGTTTTAAAGCAAAAGTGCTCTTCATTTTACTTTAGTGTTAGATTTTGAAGCATGCTAACTGCTTAGTCAACAATTTGTTTTGCCTCTCCCTTGTTTCAGAATGAATTTTTATCTAAAACTTAAGAAAATATTAAAAATTATCCTTACCAAAGGAAAAGCTTTGAAAACCTTTTTCTACTTTGACTCTTAAGAACCATGTAACTTTCCATAAACTGATTAACTTGTTCCTTACAGGTAGCAGCTATTTGAATAAAATATTTAGCTGACTTGCTTATTCATTAAATGGTTAAGTTTCCCTTCTATTCTGTTAATCTTTAAAGTAGTTTTAAATCTGTGTAAAATGTCTTAATCTGAATTGTACAGAATAGCACTACAGACCTTTGTGGGAGACCATATTACTGAAGTAATAGTTATTTGAAAAACAGGGGTTTCTTTTAGTTGTTCTAGCACTGTGGTTGCACCTTGATCTGTCCTAGAAGATTTAAAAAAAAAAACCCAAGTATTTTTTTTTTTTTAAAAAGAACAAGTATGGCTTATGACAAGGTTTAATAGGTCATTACCATACAAGAATTGTAACATTTCAAGCTGGCAGAATAGTGCACAGCTGAAGAATCTCCAGGTTTGGCCTTGCAGCATTACACGACCTCCAAGTTCTCAAGCTTTCTGCTGTATTTGTCAAGTACTATGTCAAAAACTTGAGGCTATTTTGCTAAGAAAGTAAGTAAAAACATACAGAAGTAGGTAACCTACTTTTTTTCTAAACACTTTTGACATCTCTTCCTTATGAAAAAGGCCTTTTAGGTACTCTGTTTCAAAATAAACTTGCTCTTCAGAAGTGCAGAAAAAGCAGTACCAGTGGTCTTGATGAGGACTATTTTTAGAACAGAGGTAGTTAACTCTGATTTTAGAAGGTAGTCTTATGTTGCATTAGATTATGATTTTTTAGATTACTAATATTGGGGTTTTTTTAGAAGTTGTATAAAATCACATACTAAAATTTTATATTTTAATGTGTTTCCTGTTACAGGGTTTTGGACCTTTGTAGAAATGTAAAGGAAAGGATAGTAAGAGAATGCAAAGAAAAGGGTGTTCAGTTTCCTCCTCTTTCCACCTGTAGGTAAGCCAACATTCTCAGCAATTTTTCTTGAATCTTTGATTAGTAAGAGAAGATTACTAAGGAAGAGGTCATTAAACTTGCTAGCTAACAGGCAAAGTAGGTCTAATGATATTACAAATACTAGTAATCTTGACCTTCCTCTTGAAACTGCAAGTGGATTACATGTAAGAGTGGGAAATTCAAGGCATTAGTAGCGCTTGATTAAACTTTTGCTTATATGTACAAGAGTCAAGTGTAATGACTTAAGAGTATCAACTTTCAAAGTCATAGCATTGAGTTGCTCAGGAATTATGAGGACAAAGGATAAAAATGTTAAAAAAGATGCTACCCTTTTGAATAAGATAAGTAACCTGATGAATTGTGTAATGTCACATAGTGGTTGGCTTAATATCGTAAAGTTTTGTTTGTAATGCAGTTCTCTTCAACAGGGTAACACAGACCTACGATGCAGGTGCATGTGTCTACTTCTACTTTGCCTTTAACTACAGAGGAATTAGTGATCCTATTCATGTCTATGAACAAATTGAGGTAATGTATTAAAGAACAATAGTTACAGGAGAGAAGCTGATGTAATGTATGATGAACCCATTGGCCAAGCTAATGGAATTTTCCAGGAAGGATCTCAAAAGTCTGTTCATACAGCTTTGATCATTAGCAGCTAGGAAAAGAGGTATATGCTAATAATGCATCAAGTAGAGAGAAGACTACCAAGTAACTATTTTAGGCATCACTATTTAGGAAAGCTTGACCTGGAGTTTCTTGGATGACAGAAAACTTTAAACCTTAAAACCCAAATCCATGGGAAACTAGTCTTCCTTAGTTCCATTATTTATGAAGCTATTTCTTTTTCATAATATTCAGTCTGTAAAATGCACGGTAAAACTTATCAAGATCATACTTTATTAATAGTGCTGCATGTAGAGCATAATGAAATGGGAGTGTCTGATGCTATTTTTGTTAGGCCCAGATAAGTGCTGGTCTAAGTCTGGTACATTAGAGCAGTTGTAATCTGCTTCAACATTTACCAAAGAGCTCTGGAATAGTTCTGCTTTACATTTTGGCTGATGAAATGTTATACTTACCTAGTTAGGGGAAGCCAGTATCCTTGTTAACTTGAAGATGTAAATTCTTAGAAGGACTATGGCCAAACTGCTTTTTGTCATATTTTCTGTTTTATATGCTCAAACTTCAGCACCAGAAAATTGCTAATAGGACTGTGGAGAAATAGTCAATATTTATAACTAGGATATGATTTTTCTCATGCTTATTCTTTAGAAATTTCTCTTGAATCTGGCAAGCAAAGTTTTTATCTACAAGTTCTGAGGCTCCCATGCTATTATGTGTAAGGCACTGAAGAATGTAATACTTGAGTGCTTATTTAGTGAAACTTTGCTAATACCTAGATACTGCTTTTTATTGGAATTAGTTAGCAGTGTGATTACCTGGATGCATATCTTCCGTTGTAGTAACTAAATTTAACCTAACAAAGTGAGTTAGTTGACTGAGTATATGTGTTCTATGGCAGACTGAAAAAATCTCTTAACTGCAGAGGTGCAGTTATATATGTTATTCATAAAAAAGTACACTTACTTGAAAAAAACATGTAGTGCTTGCGCTTAGGAAAGCTTTCATTGTTACACCTTCTGATCTCTCTAACTATTCATAATCAGAGGTGAATGGCAAAGGAGATTCTAGAACTTTAAAGTGTTTGTATAATTCTTACCATAAAAAACTAAATTTTGTTTTCTGCCACAAACTGCACCCATGAAAGGGTTGTCAGTTGTAAAGTACCTTACTGCCTTAACCAGAATCTTTGAGATCTGGATTTAAACTCTGATCTGAATAAGGGTCTTGAATCACTTTTGTGAGCCTGTTTACAGGCTTCTTTACTGAGACTTAATTGTCTTTCAAATGAGCATCCCAGCCACTGGACTACTTTAGTTTTAGCGAGGGGAAAGCAATCCAGAACATTTTATTTGGGAGTAATGTTTGTTGTAAGTGATGCCACTTGAGATATTGTACCTTTGATAATGTTTATTTAGAAAATTCTTACTTACATTTATCTGCAGACTTGATGTTTATTTATATTGTGTGCCTTAATTAGTTCTGAAACTTTCCATACACCATGGGTATGACTGCAGTAGCAAGCATTTCGCGTAATCAAAAAATCTTGTGCATTTGCTGTTAAATAAATACCGTATCTTTCAAATTTAGAGAGCTGCTAGAGAAGAAATACTTGCCAATGGAGGAAGTCTTTCACATCACCATGGAGGTAATGTTCTCTAATATTAGTTTCTTTGATATTGCTAAATATTCACGAGTACATGAAATAGTTTGTAGTAGAACTTTGAAAAATAATTCATAGGCATTAAGTGAAATTACTGGAGGAATGTCAAGAGGGAACATCTCTTGGGATTCTTTCCAGAGACTTCTCACTCCTTTGCCAGTTTGATCAGTTTGTCTTAAGCAACTTCTATTGATCTTTCTGCAGATATGTGTTCAGTTACAAAGACTTCAAAGGGGAGTTCCACAGTTTTAAGACAGTTTAGTGTCCCTTGTGGCTCAGTGAATGCTGTTAGCCCAAATTCCAGAGCACTTAGGCAAAGTATCTACATAAAAGAGCTTGTGACTTTTAACTGGGCTATGTTGCAATCTAACATTTGTTGTGTAATTGATGTTATGTAAGTGTTGATATTACTGGCTTGCTGTCTGATAAGTTCTAGTTATTCAGTTTCCTCTTGTGGAGTTTGGGGTTACTTGTCCTGTGTTGCTAGTATCTTCACAAGGTATTTTGTGCTTTAATATTAAGTTTAAGAATCAAAGTCATATATCAGTGATACTTCATGTACTTGATGCTTTACATATGCTTTTCCCACAAACTTTGATAGCCTAATTTGACTGCATGTGTCCTTTGTAATGCTGTAAGCTTGGATGTCAGGAAGACTTGTTGTGAAGTCAGTTTGATTTGTGCCACTAGCTACTTGAAACTGGTTAACTTGCTGCGTTTCTTCTCTCTGTTCTCTTGGGGCATTGCCTGGCCACAGATATAAGAGCAAAGAGGAAGTGTATGGTTTAAAACTAGACAAAACCTTTGTAATTCTCAAAGCTCTCTGTGGGGAAAAATATGAAGGGCAGAAGCTGTGCTTGAAAACATGTTGGTGATTCCTAGACTTGAAACTTTTAGGTGTGGCTGTTTTCAGGCGGCGTTTTTTGCTTTGTGATGGAAACACACAAAGGACTCTGCTTTAGCAGTATCGGATGTGTGGGTGTTTTCACATGAGTGAAAAGGGTTTCAGTATTTTTTGTTTGATATGCTCTTATTGTCCTCTGATTAAATCTTTAATATAGTGGTGTAGTGGACCTGTCAATTCTCACACGTATGATGTAGAATTACCCACTTGATGTGCTATTGTGCTCTGCCTGCTGTGGCAGCTGTATTGTACTGTGAGTAGCGTTTCATCCATTAACTCCCAAGCAGCTGGAGCTTGTCACACATTTGGATGTATTTGCACTCACCATGTAAAACCTTGCTTACAGCATATGTTGATTAAGAAAAAAAAATACTATGTAGCATTTTCAAGTCCTTGCATGCTTGAACTTTGTAACTTCACAACTATGGAAAACTGGGTTTCTGTTCTACTTCTTATGCTCCTGTTGTATTCATGACTGCCTCTGATACTATTAAGTATTTTCTGCCTTGAGTGTTTTCGTCTGGCAGTTCATTGTGTACAATATTCAAGATTAATTTTTTCCAGTGCTTAGTAGATGTGCTGCTGAGAATTAGCCTAATAGTATCAGTTTTATTTACTGACCTTATCACTCTTAGCACTAAGACTGGTCTATTGTGTGGGGTACAAGAAAATACTGGTGCAATTTCTTTTGGTATTTGTCTTGTAATTGTGATTAATAACAGTTGTTTTCACTATCTGGAAACAGACAGGCTGGTTTGTCTGCCTACAATCATACTGTGATAAATGGAGCTATTTTAGCTCTGGGTTTGTGTATCAAAGAAAACAGATGTAGTCTGGGACTTGAGGCTATAGGAAATACAAAGCTTGCTTAAGTCAATCTTCATATACTCCTTGAGTGAAGAAGTGGCCATATATGACAGTCTGGGTTGTGTAAAGCTCCACATGACTTTACATCTGGGGAAGGATGAACTACAGGTGAGACATGTGGCTATAATCCACAGTTGAGAACTGAAATCATAATACTCCTAACTTTACAAAGAGTAGCTTCAGAAGGACTTAACTTTGAAAATATCTTCCTTCCCCTCCATTTTGGTTTTCACCTTGACTTGAGTCTGTCCTACACTTAGAAAGGGATAGTGGACATTTTCAAGCACAGCTTTGATCCTTCTGCTTTTCTGAACACTGCTCATCTTTAGATTTGAGAGTCATGTAAGAGAGCCACAGTTAGTGTTCAGAAACTTGTCATTCCTAATAGTGCTTTTTAAATGCTAATTTCTTGTAGATAGAAGTTTAAGTATAGATAAATAATTAGTCCAATCATTTATGGCAAGCCCTAAAAACACCTGTATGATATCACACCTTTCATGCTTGAATTCCTGTTTCATAAAACATGCCTAGTTTTGTATACGTGAAATAACATGTGCTGAGTAGGTATGGCTGGTATATAAACACAACTACAATCTCTTTGGGTTACAGCACCAGAAGGGAGATGGTTGCATTTGGACCAGATCCCTTTCGTATTACCAAGCTAAGGACCTGTGTAAAACTAAAGAACAGGGTAAAAATTAATGATACATTGTTTCTGTTTCAGGAACTGTTTTAACTAAAACTGGTTACTTAAGAAAACAATTATCAGATTGTGGAGTGGAGGAAAATAGCCCCATTTAACGTAATAGAACTAATTTTCTTTTCCTTTCCAGACAGATTGACTAGAGTAAAGGTTAACCATGTAGCCCACACTGCACAGGTTTAGCTATAGTATCAATGGCAGTTTATATAGGGGAAAAAAAAAAAAAGAAAAAACCCCACAACACTAAAAAACCCGCAACCAAATCCAAACAAACCCAAAAAACCCTGAAAAGAAAACAAAGGAAAAACCAAACAACCCTACACCTCATTTGCATTCAAGTTCATTTGGCATTGCAGTGCTTTGGCATCAGTAAGAAGCTGTGGCTTAAGTTGTACGCTGCAGTAACTAACCCACACAAACTAAAAAATCTGAAATGATAAAATTCTTTTTTGGGGGGGAGTTGAACACATTCTTTTCTGAACAGGAAAAGTATTTCTACCCTTAGTTTAAGCACTGCAGTCTGATCATGATAGAGTTTGTTCTACTTATTAGAATGAGTTGAAACTGTGACATTTGTCAGACATGGAGTAACTGTATGTGAAATAATATAGTAACACAGTTATATTTTCCTCCTTGGTCTGTTGAAAGTCTTAATAGAATAGTCATCTTCAGTGCCTTTTCAAAAAAACAAAAAAGCAATGGACTTTCTGACTCATCAACAGAGAACTTGAAAGTATTTAAGCTGTTGAGATCACATTTGATCAGGCGTTGGAATGGCCTGCCCAGAGAGGTGGTGGATTCACCATCCCTGGAGGTTTTTAAGATGAGGCTGGATGTGGCACTGAGTGCCATGATCTAGGAATCACAGTGGAGTTGGATCAAGGGTTGGACCTGATGATCTCGGAGGTCTCTTCCAACCCAGTTAATTCTATGATTCTAAGATACCAAGCAAAAATGTGCAACATGATGTGGTGATGGTAAGTGTTACTGATATAGTAGACTTGACGTACACTGGTCCAATATACTCCAGTGCTACCATGTATTAGAGTAGTGCACCAACCTTTCTCGGTATTGCAGAGTTCTCCCTGGAAGAATAATAATGTGTTAATTTCTAAGAGCAGAGAGCTGTTTCCTGTAGAGACTACTAGCTTCAGGAAGAGCATGCAACAGCTGGAAGAGCTCCATCCTTCTTAGGACCTGTCACTGCTGCTCCTTTTGCAAAGTTATTGTTATGCAGTAACTACCTCTTCAAGATTGAAAGGGCTGAAGCAGAGGAAGTCTAGAGCCAGGTGCAGTGCCACTAGAGCCCATTTCCACTGGGACCACAATGCTATAAATTTATACTCTGCGTGGGTGTAGACTAATTCCTGGGCTCAGTCAGCTATATGAAAACTTTCCCTACAAGACTGTTCATGTGTACCCTAGTACTTCCTATTCCAAAAATGAGGAAAAAAAATTGCTGCCTGTTGTTTGCTAGCTCCATTTTTAGCAACCAGACTTTTGTAGCCATCCAGATGCATTTTTCGAAAATGATCAAGTGAAAAGGGCAATGGAAGGCTGAACAACTTTTCCAGTGAAACCAGCTAAGGGCTGGACCAGCATGTGTCAGAGCTGGGAAAAAGTTACTTAGCCAGTTCACGTTTTTCTCTTTCATACATGGACTAGAATGATAGATAAAAACTTTAAAATAATATTGGTGTTGGACTGTCTAGAGTTGCTACTAAACAAGCTTCTTGGTTTTCTGATCTGAAGTGCCTTGTGTGAAGTAGGCTCTCTGCCATGCCAGGGTGTTTGTACAGTATGTAATAGGCTGGAGTTCAGATTGGAGATTTCTGGCTTCCTGGCAGTGAATGTTTTAAGGCATTATTAGACTGCTCAGCACACCTCAGGAACAGGCCACTTGCCACTTGTAAAACTTGAAAACTAATTCTGTTGTACTTCAGATTGGATAATTAAAATCACAGAATCACAGAATGGGTCAGGTTGGAAGGGACCACAGTGGTCCAGTCTCCCTGCTCAAGCAGGGTCATCCTAGAGCACATTGCACAGGATTGCATCGAGGGAGTTCTTGAATATCTTCAGTGAGGGAGATTGTGCAACCTCTCTTGTCAGTCCGTTCCAGTGCATGGTCACCCACACAGTAAAGAAGTTCTTCCTCATGTTCAGGTGGAACTTCCTGTGCATCAGTATCTGCCCATTGCCTCTTGGCCTATTGCTTGGCACCGCTGAGAAGAGCCTGGCTCCATCCTCTTGACACCCTCCCCTCAGGTGCAAGATTAAGTGTCTTCAGAGGAGAAGATGCAAGAAGGGAGGGCTGTGTTTTTTTCCATTTGGGGCAGCAAGGACTGTGTGTGTAGCTGAGTTGGCAAGTAGTAACATACCACGCTACTAGAAATTGATTGTACAATGTTATGTTGATTTGAGAACCTTATTAATAATTTTATGATGTAGCATATAGAATCAAGCTATTTGGATCTCATTTTTTAATTGAGAAAAGCATATTTTGCTGAAAGCCTGTAAGTGGTAGATGCTTGTATCAGTTCTGGTTCTGTGCACTGTCTCATGTCAGTTCTAGACAAATGGCATCATGCAGGGCTAAAACTAAAAGTGTACTTTCTCTAGGCTAGAAGTGGGAAGTAAGTTTTCCCTAGTCTGTGGTAAGGTTTAACTGAGACCTTTTTGTTAGGCTTCCTTGGCTCAAAGCTGTTTGGCCAGTCTTAGAGTGGAGGTGAGCAACTTTGTCACTTGGAATTACTTTTATGTTCACAGTAACTTCTTTTACTATTATGGCATTTTCTTCCTCCTTTCCAGTTCTCATCCTTGAAGCTAATTGTGATTTGAAGCTGTGGGAGAGGAGGAACAGAATATTTATAGTGCAGAACTAACCTGAAGTGAAACAATATATAAATTACTTATTTAAGTGCTGCTGTCATCTGCATAGAACCTTTCCTTCACTTGGTCTCCTTTCCATTTTATCTGATGAACCAGCTTAGAATTCTGAGAGGTTGCTTCAATACTTTTTAACTCTAATATTAAAACTTGACTAATTGAAAAATCCATGTATATCTTATTGATGTGAACAGTAGGAGCAGGGGATCAACTTTGCTGTTATAAAGGGTTAAAATCTTTGCGCTGAGCATGTTTGTGAAGGACTGCTGGTAACTGTAGTACAGCTTTTTTTCTTTCCAGTTCACTAGTCAGATGTATGTTAGATTTATTATCTCAAAAGTATAAACCATAGAAAATTTGACAAGATAGATGTGTAAATTATCACTTTGACAGAACTAATGATGCACTCCAAGCACCTTCTGTTTTCCAGCACTTGGTGAGCGACTTCATTAAATATGCAACGACTGTTTGGTGCTGCTCAGACAGTAGTTCAGTTCCTTGTGGAATTACATTATTACTGGAGGTGTAAAAGAGGCAGGCATGCTAGCTGTTGGGCATCCTGCTGTGATTCTAATGTGCTCCATCTTGTTGGAGCAGTTGTTTGCAGTCTTTTCAGGACAATTACATCCATAACCACAGAACACATTCACTGAAACTGTATTACAGATAACAGTTGAGAATAGTAATGACTGTTCTTCAGCTGCTTGTGTAAGAGCCAGGGTGAGTAACTTAAGGTGATGGTCAAGCCACATCCATGCTTTGGGTTTTTTTGTAGAAGTAGTATTAAAGTTTTCTGAGGTAAAATTCAACCACAGCAGCTTACTCAGGCAGTCGCATTGTAGTGATAGTATATTTACAGATGGGGATTTTTTCCTGAGCTGGGTCCACAAGATATAGCACAGTTCCTACCACATAACAAATTCTTTTGTCCTTCAGTTGTGGTCTTTGCTCTTGACACATACGCTGCTAATAGTTGTTTTCTAGCAAACTGCAAATTTTGTTCTGTCTCACATTATTTGCTTTTTCTGTTGGCATTGTGAGTGGCTCGTATTCCTTAAGGTATAAACAAATATATTCTGTTCTCCAGAGGTGTCCCTGTAATTTATTATTCTGATGACAGTTTGATGGTTACCCTGAAAACAGGGCACAAAAGATGGCTTGAATTTAGCTTCAGATACTCTTAAAGCTTCTGTCTCTCAAACCTTTACTATATTGTATCATACTGATAAATGGGTTGCATTTCAGGCTGACAAGTTAAATGCTGGACTGTGTTTAATGAAAAAATGTCCCTAGTTTTGAATGATTTGTTAATCAGAGTTGACCATTTTGTTGATTAGTATGTGAACTCTCAGCTATTTAACAGGACTATTGTGAGAATTTAGTGAAATGAGTTTTTAAAAGACTGTTTCAGTTTTGTTTTGTATTTGTTATAGCTAGTGAGTATTTTTACATGGAAAACAAAGCTCTTGTGTAGTGATATTGAGCAATTACCAGCCAGCATAGGAGTTTTTGAATTAATTATTAAGCCTTCTTTATAGGAAACAATTTTTTGCTATTTAAACCAGTACTGGTTTAAGCTTGATTATTGAGTTATGTTTTCAGTTTAAAGAGATTAAGAAATGTAGGGTTCTGCGTTTTAGTAATCTCTGTTACAGTTGCCTAGTTAAAATTAGTTTGTGGCTTTTTAAAACTTATACTGATTCCCTGTCTTAATAGAACACGTGATTTCAGCCTAAGCTTCATCTAAATTTCATAGTTTCTAAAGAAAGTAGACAGTGTGGAACACAGTCTTCCTCTGGGAGTATGCTGAGCTTAATGAGCTTGATAGTCTGGTGGGCTCAATAAATCAAATAAAGCAAAACATTTCTCATTTTTGAATAAAAGCATTTATCACACAGTGTTTATTCATTCATGTTCGCAAGATTGATTGGCTCCTTGAATCCTGCCATATATTGAAACACTTTGTTTTTGTTTTTCCAGTAGGCAAATTGCGGAAGCGCTGGATGAAGGAGAGCATCTCTGATGTTGGCTTGGGAATGCTGAGATCTGTTAAAGAATATGTGGACCCCAATAATATCTTTGGAAACAAAAATCTTTTATAAAGCCCTGCACAAATGATGTACTAAAAATTAAAAATTACTGTTGAAATTCCTCCACTTTATTGTATTGATATCCCAGTAATCAAATATAACATAGATTAAACTTTAAAAACTAGTAACTTACATTGCTTTTTTGCTACTCCCTTCCCCCTCCCCCCAATAAAGTATAAACATCACTGTTAATGTTTATGGACTTTTACTTACAATGCTCTTAACCCACTGGGCACGAAGTACCCACCAGGAAATGCAGATTTGTTTTCCAAGTTCGGTGTAACACAGCTGACAGTATTTTCAGTGCTGGATACTGCCAGATGTTTCTTGCTTAAAGCATCAACTGCAAGGAGGACAAAGACTGACAACTGTGTTTTCTACAGAAGCAGCTGCTCAACCCAGCCTCTTGCTAAAGGAAAGCTGCTAAGAGACAGATGAGGGAACACCAAGGAGTACCTCACTGTACTGAAGGATTAAGTATGTAACAGACTTGTAACCAGCAAATACTTAAGAGTACAAATACAGGCTTTGATCAAAAGAGACAGTGTAAGCCAAATTACTAAAAACTCAGTAGTCTCTCACTGTAGTACTACTTGAAAATTATACACAATTGAACCGTTCTGAGTTGTATTTGCATTGCTGGGATAATCTTAAATTAATTGTAGGTCAGTCACTAAGTTTTGTACAATGGACATTTCTCACTGTATGTTGAAAACAGGTTTGTAACAAAATTTTGCGTTCATCTGTACTTCAGTCCTAGTGTGTATGGTTTTTGTTCCTGTTTTGTTTGTTTTGCACAGATGCAAAATATCTTTATCAGTTAAAAAAAAGTTTTGGCTATTCAAATGAAACTGCCCAGCACTGTCTTTTGAAGCAGTCTCAACAGTTTAATAAAATACTTAAGTGGACAACCTAATGTTATCCTGGAAGTGAGATTTCCCATTTAAGTTTTGTACAGTTTCCTATGACCTTTATGAATCATTTATTTACTTCACAAGTAGTAACAATTTTAATTGTCCATTGAACTTTATGAAAATTAAATATTTTCTTGATCAGTATCATGTGAGAGTAAGCATTTTTACATTGAAACTTGAATATTAATCAGTAAAATAAACTAAAAGTATTTGTCAGTACTCATGATCCATTTTTAAGGTGGGTTCTTTCTTAAAGCAAATTATCCAATTTTTTGATAATTAATGTAAATGCATAGGATAGAAGAAATACAGACTATCCTTTGAGGACACTGTCTCTCTAGCCAACTGCTTCACAGCTCTGTAGTGTCAGTTTGGACACCTTTTGTATTGGCAGTGCCCTTAATGAGGAGAAAAAGATAAATTGCATTTTTGTTTTTAAACTATTTTAGAATACTGTCTAATTAGCTCTCAGTTTTGGTAATATACCAAAAAGAGTATGAAGTGCTTGAAAATATACTGCATATCAGACAACTCTGAACTTGTTTAAAGACTAATTTCAATGCTGTACTTAAAACTACTGAAAAACATGAACACTCAAAACATCACTTTAAAAATGCATGCTGTCAAGGTATTTAAACTTTTTTATGATCTGCAGGTCATAAGGCAGAATGTTCATGTGATACTTATAATGCAGCTACATTTAATTTCGAATGGTCTTTGTCTCACAACATTTCAACATAAAAATATATAATTTTTTTCTCTCCCGCAGAGTTCATATTTCAGCAGTAACCAAAACAATAGGTGTAGTCTGTTTTAGGAAACTGAGCCTTCACACTGTGGTTAAGTGTTCCTTAAGTACACAGAGGTGTCTCAGCAAAGTGAATCTGCACATTTTTGTGCAGAGCAGTCCCTCATCTCACCTGCTGCACGGTGGTGACCACAGGGCCACAGCTGGTGTACTGCTGATGACTTGTATTGCTCTGCAGTGGGGACCTTTCTAGGAGCTGGTAAATATGAAGGGTGTTTATGTGCCTCAATGAAAGTTCATGTCTAACTATGAAGAATTAATTTTGAAGGAAAGTATGAGAAGCTTTTTTGCAGAATGACAGCACAAAGAGAACTAGAACAAGTACTCATAGCTTAGTTAATACTGGTCTCTTAAGATTTTGACTAAAGTACAACACAGCTCTACAACATCCCATTTTTTTAATTTTCTCACTGTGGTTTGCTCATCTCTTTTTTTGTATTGAAAGTACACAGGTAAAACCTCCTTATACTCTCTAACATTTAAATAGACACAACTTCTGAAGTGATTTAAAACGTAGTAAAGATTTTTACTGTATGTCAACTGTCATATGGGAAAGTGAAATAACAGGCTATAAGGATTTAAAGCACTGTCACTCGGTAGCTCTGAGGAAAAGATTAACTACAAATGTAATGGATTTTTTTTTTCTGCTGGCTGCCCTATTGCTGTCTTCCTAAGTATTTCTCTGTCTTATGAACCAGTCAGAGCTTAGTGAAACTACAGCTGAAACATATGTATTACTGTCTTTAACTTCACTTTTAAATTCCTAGTGAAAATAGAAAAAAATGTAATGCAAGTTCAGAAGACCTAGATACACACAGATCATTCAACATTTAAATGAAATCTTACTTTCTCTGATACTACAGTCTTCCACCACTCTTCCTTCTCTATCTCTACTTTCTACAACTTCACTTCCCGTAGCTGCAGCCTGTTCAGAGATGGAGTTTGATCCATGCAGATCAGAAGTGCCGATGCCTAACACATGACTTTTGCATTTGCTTGACTATTTTGGCCATATGTAAGTTCAAGCAGTTTTAATTAAGCTTGTAATTACTTCCAATTACATAGCTTCTGCTCCCTTTGAAGGAGGAAAGGTGCAGGGTGACTATGGCTTGACTGTAAAATATGTTTACATTGGAGAGACCTTTATAAAAGTTTTGAGGGGAAAGAAGCAAATCTGTTAGAAGTTGATCCAGGATCTAAATCTTGCAGACAAAAAAAACCATGTCTTGATTTGACTCATAGTATATTGGTTAAGTTAGAGATGTCATCTTTGCCTTACAGCTGTGAACAGAGGCCAGGCCAAATAGTTCTTCCGTAGCAATGTTAATTAACTGAAACAAATCTCAAAGGCAGGGATACATTAGCACTGAAATCCAGAAAACACAAATTGCTTCTCAATCTTGGAAATGTGTGTTTATCAAGGTTGTAATTTAATTTTCTGCAAATAAAGCCAAACAGTGTTTGTCATTTTAGTGTGAGATTAACTGTAAAACTTCAGTTGTAATGTTAAGAGACTACGGAACCTTATATTATTAATAAAAAGAAAATTGGCCTAAACAAGTATGTGGTTTTTGTGATGAAACTAAACAAATACATTCTACTAACTTGTCATATTGCTTCAGTTTAATTTGGTGATGAAGTCTTACCTAAGGAAAACTATTAGGAAAGCTTTGGCATTTGGACAGAGAGAGAAGAGATTGAATTTGTAAATGTGTGCTAATAGGAGCTCTGCTTTTGTGTCCCATCTGCAAAACAGGAAAGTGAGAGAATTTCACTGAAGGAAGGGGGAAACCACACCTGAACACCAAGGCTACTTGGTTCAGAAATTTCACCTCCTCAGTACTCCCTGTTTGGGCAGCGCAGTGATCATGTTCAACTGCTATTGGGAAATTCTCTTAATATAACACAGGAGCATACCTTTACTTACTCAGATTCCCCAAATTTCAAAGACCTGTTGTATTGCATTATTGCAACAGGCATCTCATTTCTTGCTGCTGTGCTCATGTCTTATGTAAAAGGTCCTGGAATCTGCTTGAAAGTTCGGTGTGCACTAATGCACCATTGTGAGCAGAAGTATTTCTCAGTTATCTGCATTATTGCTATGAAGTCTTTGTGCCTTTTAAGCCAAAATGGCTGAAATCACACACTGCCTGAAAGAGCTGTTGAATTGTCTTGTGTTAACACTGTAATTCAGTCTTAATACATATTGCACAAAAACTCCAAAAGTCATAGTATGCAGGGGGCAGCAGACCTAATGATGAGGTTCACCTTGTAGAACTATTACAGTTTCTCAATATGATCCAAATTTTTTTGTCTGCTTGCTCACAGGAGCGAGAAAACTACCTGACAACCAAGCATTTTATTTGTGTTTCCCTTCTATTAACAGCATTAAAATGCAGTATTTTTACTTGGATCCAGCAAGTCTCAATTTGAAGGAGATCTTAGATGATGATATACTTGTCTCAGGATGACAGCCAGACCCCACCAGTGTTCTCTTTGTTTGTAATACGTAAATTTTATAAAAAGTTGGATCTGAACTTGCAGCTGTGTAAATACTATAGGCTTCACTGTTTATGGTCTTATAGTCCCAGCACTAACTTTGAATTCATATTACCTTTACCATAAATCAATGTCTTTCTTTAGGCTCTCTATGGAGACCAGAATTGGCAGGTGGCTGCTTTTTTCATGTTCAGCTTTAAGGTCTGCTCTGCTCAAAGGGCAGAGGTGGTATTGCTCAAAGATGTTTGCCATGCTGCCTCTGAAAAATACTAGTGCTGTCAGTTTTTAAATAAATTTTAAAAGAAGAATATTCCTTTTTAAAAATATGGGGGCTATGATGTTTTAAATTGTACTGTTACTTGCAGTTTTTACCAATACAAGTTGCAATAATACATACCTTTACTGAAATGCTATGAAATGTTTCATATATGAATTTGGTTTTGCACTTTGGATAAACAAAACATTGATCTTTTAATGGGAAACTTTATGAATGTTTCATTTTGATTCAGAATAAAGCTAAATTTATTTCAATTGAATGTTCATAAATTCCAGTATAACATTCCTATTTGAGTAGCAGTCTGCCTCTTTCTACTTTCATGGTAGTATGCAGTAGTGTCCCACCCCGGTACAGGGACATAGCAGCTTTTACATTAATGTATTTGTTGTAGTGCTATAAAGTATTGTAGCGGCATTCTAAAGGATAAAGCAGCAATGGAGTTGTGTGTCTGCAGAAAGATGATGGACAAAACTTGATGGGACTGTAATCAAGTAAAGTTCAAGTCAATGCTTTTAGAACTTCAGATCAAAGTAGGAAATAGGTGGAAAATGCTTTTGTTTAAAAATAATATTTAAAAACTATTTTTAAATGATGAAGAATGTCAAATGATTGTCCCAGCTCTGCTGTTCAATATCATGTGACTTGTCTGAGTGGCTGACTTTCCACAGTGCTTCTACTTAGCAAAATATAAAATGGATGGTCTCAAGACAGGGCTGTGATAAAGCTGCTCCTTTTCAGGCTTGGCTCTGTTCCCGTGAGTGACACGGACACTGAGCATGTGGATATCTGGCATTGCCGTTGCATCAGTCAGTGCTGGCTCAGCAATACGGTATTCAAAGCAGTTCAAAGACAAGGAATATCACTGATGTGTACTCAAATTAAGTTTGGTAAATACTGAAAACATAAAAGGGCAGTTTGCTAAGTTCAGTTCTTGACTAGACGCAATCCTGAGGATGTGGGAGTAATGAGAAGGTACAAACCCAGCCGCTGACCTTTCTCCCTCCCAGCCCGTGGCAGCAGCCGGCAGTGTTTCCTGTCTCGCCCTGTTCCTGCTGCTGCAGAGCAGGAAATCCTGACTGCCCAGAGGCGAGGGTTAAAAGCCCTTCTGAAACATGAAGTGACACACATACTCACCTAGCAAATACAGAGCAGCTGGGTAAATACATGTAGAGATGAGGCCATAAAAGCTGGTCATTAAGGAAAGTAAATCTGGCTAATGTTAGAAAGCAAGATGTGGGTGAGCTGAACAGAATACTTTGGTAAGTGGGTAAGCCACAAGGCAAACTGACCTTCTTAGCACTATTGCTTCTGGAAGTACAGGGCAAGATTATTTTTCCAGACATTTTTTTAATTAAGATTTTTTTAATAAATGAGAGGTTTGTCTTTCTCTGTTCATGCTTGTAACTGAGTAATGTCTA